TTTAGTGATTTTCCACAGAACTGTCTCAGCTCTTTCCAAGAAAAAAAGAGAGACATAAGCCAGCCAAGGTTTCTCAGGAATTTTATAGTTGGCAAACTAGATGGCTTTAAAATTCTAAAGAAGAGTTTAAAGTTATAAAACATATAAGTACTGTGTGATGACTTACTGCCTATCCTTCATCCATAACTGTAACTTGCTATAATAGTGAACTACAGAAAATAACATTTCCAGTTTTTATAAGTCAATATATAGCACAAAAATTGTAATTATATTATTCTTGCATGAGAAGCAAAATATCATTTCAGAAGACAGTATTCAAAATGTTGAAACCTATTTGCTGAAACTTCAACATGTACTCAACTGTACTCAGACAGGACAGCTAGAAGTAACACTATATCGGAAGTGTACCTTTCAAGAAGGTTGACAATTCCCTGGACCTGCCTCAATCAGGTAGATTGGGATCAACAGCCAGATCTTTGGTTATTCTGCAGTAGATCAGCAAAGATTTCAGATTCCCAATTGTTTAATAGTAGCAACTACAGGAAGGCAAGGTTTGACTAGGCAGGGAAACACCAGATCTATATCAGTATCCCAGACACAAGATAATCTGCAGATAGGGTACTCCCTGTAGATTTCCTCAACAATGCCAACAATTTGGTAGGATGGCTGCATGGTCAGGAGTCTGTGATTACAGTGGGCAAAGAATAATATAAAAATAACCACCAACCTTAACCATTACTAACTTGAAGAGGCAATATAGGTGTATATTGAGACCACATGTTTCACTCCGCCCGCAAATACACACAAATCTTTTATTAGTCTCTTTCATAATGAAGATAAACCTTTGATTCTGTGGAGGGCCTACACAGATAGAGAATCTCAGAAGTTCATTATTTTCCCTTGCACAGGGCACTTCCACAGATAAAAAAAGCTTCTTCACTACAGTACTTTATCCTCATCATAAGAGAGACTGGGAGAGCTGCATGGTCAGGGGAGGGAAGAGGCAACCGAAGATGAACCTTCACGGTAAAGAACATAAGAGACTTCTGGATTCGAACAAAGGCCCATTTAGTCCAATGTTCTGTTCTCACAGGGCCAACCAGATGCCAGTGAGAAGTCTGCAAACAGGACCCGAGAACAAAAGCATTCTGCTGTCTTGCTATTTCCAGAAACTGGTATTCAATGGTATGTTGTCTCTTCAAGCCAGTTAATGCCAGAAGAGAGCTACGGAGTATAGAATATTTGAAGTCCAGAAAGACAGTTTACCTATATTCATCACTATGTTTAGACAGCAGACAATAAGGGAATTCTGGTATAGCATAATCTACTTTCATTACAATAGCACATTAGTTACAGCACTTGTTCCTATATAAGGCCCCTTTTTTAGGCAATGCAAGTGTGTGGATCAAGGGAGGTCATCAACAGACTAAACTTGCAATATATTTTCATTTAGAGTCATGAAATTGTTCTCCCAATGTAATATTTTGTCCAATATTTTATTTCTCCAATAAAATATATTAGCCAATAAACGTTTGTATTGCTGATATCTGTTTTATTGATCTGGGTATTGACAATACCCTATTCCAGAGTACTCTAGAGCCTATAAAATCTTCAAAAATGGCTCAGGATTAAAAGACGTTATCTGATAAGATTCATTCTCCTAAAATAGAGTAGTAAAGATACTTAATATTGTATCTTCTGCCAGCAAGACTTTAGACAGAGCACTTCAAATGGATTGTTTGATGTACCAGTCCCCAATTGTGCTGCTTTAAACAGAGTGCAAGATAATATCAGTAAGTCATATCTTCCCACCAATACTTCCACAACATAAAAATCTCCTAAATTTAAGATTACAAAATATTCCACTTCCATCCCATCTCCTTCATGGACTAACCGAGGCTTGATACAGCCTCTTGCTCACTCCATGATGAAGAGAGCCAAAAAGCTTGGCTCTTTTTTTCTTAAAACTGTGTGTGGGCAAGTTGACAGGCTAGATCAGGGGTAGGCAACCTAAGGCCCGGGGTCCGGATGCAGCCCAATCGCCTTCTCAATCCGGGCTGTGGACAGTCTGGGAATCAGCGTGTTTTTACATGAGTAGAATGTGTCCTTTTATTTAAATTTCATATCTGGGTTATTTGTAGGGCCTGCCTGGTGTTTTTCATGAGTAGAATGTGTGCTTTTATTTAAAATGCATCTCTGGGTTATTTGTGGGGCACAGGAATTCATTCATTTCCCCCCCACACACACACAATACCACATGGTCTGAGGAACAGTGGACCGGCCCACGGCTGAAAAAGGTTGCCGACCCCTGGGCTAGATAATATTTATGTGGGCTAGTAACTTTTGTGAGCTTATTTGCAAGGTTGAACACAGTAAGTCTTTAAAAACAATGCAAAAAACAAAAACAAAGCCCTTGCTAGACTACAGCTTGAATTTAATTAAACCGGTATTACATTGTTGCAATAAGGTACCTAGAGTGTTTGCACAAATGATGCTCCAGGCAACACAGGGTAATATATATTATACACACTACTGAATTAAGAACTTAAATCTGATTAGGCAAATAAAACTTTGGAAGATGCATCACATCACTGTGGAAATTATTCTCCGTGTCTCTATGTATTTTCTATTAAAAGAGTGCAAATGTCTGAGCCAAGGAGGCTTCAGTGACAAAGTTTTCACTATGCATCTTGGCTTTGCCACTCTTTGTACAGAACTTGTGTAACAGCAACTTTCCCCACCCCACTGTCTATTTATCTGTAGATTAAAGAAGTTAATATGATAAAGGACAAGGATTGAACTAAGGAGGAACAGACAATTTATGGTTTTATTTTGCTCACATGAGTGATGTCACTGATTTAGTGTTTCCATAAAGAATGGCCAAGAAGGAAAGAATGGAAAAACATTGCAACAATCCAGTGGAAAAACTGTACAGATCAGCACTCTTTTACTATGTCAAACATTAAATAGCAGTTGGCCTTAAGAGACCTATCATGATTTTAACTACAGAACAAGCCCAAGGATTGGAGAAGTGAAATATGTGTAACATGCACACTTTTGCAGCAGAGAATAACCAGATACAAATGCCTTATGGTTCAACTGTATTCCTAAACATCATCTTTGCTAAAGATGCCACACACACAATTTGAGGACCACAAAATGTTTAAGAGTGGCTGGGGAAACCCAGCCAGATGGGTGGGGTATAAATAATAAAATTATTATTATTATTAAGACAAATAGCTGATTACAACCAAATAACAAATCCTTATAAGTGCTTTGGTTGAGTCGTGGAAGACACAACAACCTACACATTAAACAGAATAAATTCTACCAGAAACTTTTAGAGCTTTATGAAAAATTAATGAGCAGGTTACATAAATCTTGTGGATGAAGGAGTTCTAGATGAGAGCTGCTGGAAGACATTACAAGGCAAATAGACACATCATTTCACAATAAGTACTCATAGAAAGGATAAAAAAAACTTGAGTATTTTGTTATTTGGAAACATGACACACAAACCTAGTATTTTATGATTCAGTAATCGTTGCACTTTGTATTAATATTAATCCTCTTCTTAAAATAGATATACACTTGCTTTGCGCCCAACATCCTGACAGAAAGCCATAAAAAGGAAATGAAGCTCTCCTTTAAAGACCAAAGTAATCATACTGCCAGTGCCAACACCCAATCTTTCAAAGTTTAACCCCGTTGATTTTAATCCTATCACACATCAATTCTGCTTCGCACAAAGCCAAGTAAGAATAGGTGGGACGGCGCTTCACTCAATTAGCTTATCAGCTCTTTCCCGCCGCCGCCCCCTTTTCCAGGGGTTGCAAAGCCAGGATTCTGCAAAAAGGATTCATTTACAAACAAGTAGTCCCGGAGACAGAATGAAATATAGGGCAGATATACTCCGAGGAGAGGAAGCCAGTTGGCCACATTCCTTCAGGAATCCCTAACTCCCCAGACCAAGCGGGGCCTGGAAGGGAGGCCAGTCCCAGGCAGGCAGGCAGGCAGGCACCCCGGAAGCCGGGAAGCGGCGGCAGGGCAGCTTCGCCCGCCGAGGTCCCTCCGCTGCCCGGGATGCGAGAGCGGCGCTTCTGCCTCTCCCTCCCTCCTCGCCGCTTCCTGCACTATCCGCCTCTCCCTCTCTCCTCCTTCCTTCCTCCCTTCCGCAGGGCTCCTCACCCGCCCGCATTCCTGGGCCACTCGCCGCAGATCCTCGCCCAGGTTCAGCCTCCAGTCCAGCCGACCATTATATACAGATATATATACCCTGTATGTATATATATGTATGAAGCCGAGAGACGCCCACCCGGCCCCTTCCTTTCCCGGGCTCTTCAAGCGCCCCACCTCCCTCCGGCACCTCGCCCGACCTCCCCTTCGAGCAGACCCCGCACTCGCACCTTCCCTTGCACGCCGCTGCACTCATTCACACGTACTCCGCGAGCCCGCTTCTCCCCATCCCCGGATTCCCCGCCGCCGCCGCCGCCTCTTGAGCGCAGCAGCCCCCGCACCTCCTTCCTTCCTCCCTTCCCCTTTCGAGGCTCACCCACACGGCTTCGGAGCCGACCAGCCCCGCACCCGGGAGCTCGGGCCTTCCGCCACAGGTCGCCCCGCCGCTCTCCCCGCCGGGCAGGGAGGAAGGAACCGCGCCTCGTCGTCCGCGGAAGCCCCTTCCCTCAGCCAAGCGCCTACCGGGCCCGGCCGCCGCTCGCTCGCTCCGTCGCTCGCTCTCACCTGCTACCCGCGGCCGCCTCCCTTCAGCTCCTCCTCAGCCGCCAAGCAGAGCTGCCTCCTACTCCCTGACAACAACTCCCACCTCCTTCGCTACCTTCTCTCCTTCCCCACTTCAAGCCTCGCGGGCGCATTGGCTGCTTCGGCCCCAGTCGCTGGTAGGTATTGGTGGGGATTTGAGCCCGTCAAGCCTTCGCTCCGCCTTGTCGTTTCGCAGTATTTGATTCACACCGAAGCATTGACTTCTTTCCTGGTTGTTTTTTTTTTTGTCGGTCCAAACCGCAAGAAGCGGCAGCTGCGATAGGTCAGAAGAGATGCGATCATTCAGGCTCCGCCTTCCTGATAAAGTACCCGATGCAAAGTGCCTAGCCCTGCTTGGTTTGGTTGCACAGTAGGGAGGGACACAGTTCAAAAGAGCGGGGCAGGGCACACCTGACCTGGAATTAACCCTTCACTGACAGAAACATGGCTGGTTGGTGTCATTCAGTTTACAGGTTTGTCGCTCTCCTCTAAGAGTTGATAATATTCCCCAGGGCAATCCTAAGAAGTACAATACTGTATATTTAAAATATGCCAGATCCCATTGGGTTCCCATATTTTCTCAGATCTAGGAGACAGGGCCAATCTTTTAACTGTTTTTAATTGTTTCAACTGATTTCAATCTGTGTGGATTTTTGTTATTTTTCTTGATGGAGGGAGGATGTGCCTGGGAGGACAGGAGCAGGGGAGAGTGGGGGGTGGGGTGGGGACAATTACAGTGGTACATGGTAGGGCTAGGCATGATCTGATTATAGATGAGGAAGCCGCCTCACCCATTACAGAGACCTGGGTGGGTGAGCAGGATGGAATTGGTCTCACCCAGCTGTGCCCACCTGGGTCCTCAGGGCAGAGCTGAGGGATGGAGAGGGAGAATTGCTGTAGTCTATAGAGTTTCCATCTCTCTCTCTGGGCTCTCTGTCCAGTTGTGGGAATCCTATAAAGCCTTAAACTTGTCAGGACCACAATATCTTAAGTGCTGCCATTCCCCATACGAATCAATCCAGACGCTGAGATCTAAGGCCCTTCTTCATGTGCCTCCTCTGTGAGAGGTTTGGAGGACTGCAACATGAGAACAGGCCTTTTCTGCAGTGGCTCCCCGCTTGTGGACTGCTGTCCTCAGGGCCACTCACCTGACACCTTTGTTGCATATCTTTAGGCACCAGGCAAAAACATTCCTCTTCTCCCATGCATTTGGCTAATTAAACAAGTTATGGCCTTTTAAACTGCAAGGGGCGTGGGGTGATATTGTTACTATGGTGTGGTTTTTTGTGTTTTGATATTGTAAACCACCCTGTGATCTTCGGATGAAGGGCAGCATAGAAATTTGACAAATAATCATCATCTCTTCTGCTTTGAGGAGAACTGCATTCTATTTTTTTAAAAGCCTTTCTGACAACTAGCTGAAGTTGACATTTTAGTCATGATAATTGGGATGAATTGTTTTTATAATTATAGCTGAGAACATAAAGAAGCCACAGAGAAAAGGGTGGGAATCCCCAACCTTTGTTCCATGACATCTTTTAAAGGTATTTTAACCTGCAGTACTTTTACCCATTCCCCTATATTCCTCTATCTAATTGATCCAGTTAATGGTTCCTCTTTGTTTTTTCTCCAAATTTGGAACTTCTGTGCCACTGAAAATTATAATTCTTATATTATTGAATTTTGTCAAAGTACAGTTTGTGTATCAGGCCATTAAAACAATACACATTTGTATTTTGAAATTCACAAAAGGGAAAGATCAGATTTAACTGTATGAAATAACACTTTCCCTCAATAACTGGAATCTGAAATTTGGCAGTTTGGTAGCACAAGGGCATCTGGCACAAAAGAGAACAAGGTTGCCTTCAACTTTTCAATAAAATAGTGTTGATTTGTTAATCAATAAACGTTAGTGATTTATGAGTACATTTACTCATATTTAATAGAAAGTAAAGGGAGGCACGTTGGCCCATAAGAAAAATGCTCCAATCTGTATTGGAGTGAGACTTTTATTAAGCCAACCCAAATTACAGAAAATGCTGTGCAAGCTTTTGAGTTCTTCAGAACTCTTGAAACAAAGCAATGGACTGGGCGACAGGGTGGCAGTTAGGAGAGAAAACGACTGCTGTTGAAGCCATGGAGTCTACATCTCGGCATAATCTTAAAACTTAAGAGGGAGGAGGTAGCAGACATTTGGATTACGCTCTTGAGGTCCTGTACGGGTATCAGGTTGCACCAAAGTCTGCTGGGAACAAGAAGCATAACAATGGCTGATTCCCTATCTCTGAAAGCACAAGACCAGGTCTGTCCCTATCCTCCTTAGATGAAACACACAGGTTTCTTTGAAATAAGTCTCCAGTGTGACTTATTTTCAGCCCTACTTTAGATTGCTGCCTAAAGCACAGTATTGCATACCTGTTGTGTTATAGAAGGATGGATTTTGGGAGGTTCTTTGTGGACATGAGAAGTTTAAATGGAAAGAAGGAAGTGGGAGAGAGAGGTTTTTTCATATAGGTAGGTAAGAGGGGGTGACTATCCATCACATACACAGCTATGAGTTTTTCCTCCATGCATCTGGGTGGCATCTGCTGGAAACAGAATTCTGGCCTGCATAGATCAATTTTTATATTACGTTCATGGGAAGCTGAAGACTTCCTCTGTATATCCCCTCCTGAATTGCTTCTCTTTGGTTAAACAGCTTCTTGCCTTCCTTTTCATTAATATTTTGCAGAAAGCTTATGGCTAACTACAGCAGCTGTTTGTGAATAGAAAACCATAAGATAGTCTGATTGGATTTAAAACCACAAAAATTGCTTATGCAAGTCACTCACTGAAAACCCGTTGTTGGAATTCTTGATACACATTACTAGCCCCAGGTCAGGTATGAATTGCAAGTGTTCAAAATGTTTCCACAATATAGAGTTTGACTTAGGGCTATTTAAGTGTCAAGCATTCCATCCAGAACCATTTGCAGACACAAGGGGTGTCTGAATGTCATGTAGGCACTTGCTTTCTACAGCCACCAACAAGTATTCTCCAACAAGGCCTCAGTAATGTACAAAACAATTATGTTCCAGTATCCAAGGATATACAGTTAGTACTTAAATAAATAGTAAAAAAAAATATTGAAAGGAAAGTGAAATAAAAGATGAGCAGCTGTTATGGTGGACAAAGAGGATATGAACCAGAGTGCTAATCATTTTTATTCAGAAGTAAGCCCCAGTGAGTTCTTTAGAGTTTATTCTTAGTGTATGCAATCATAAACCACTGTTTATTGAAGTATTGTTTAATTATCTGAACACTACCTAGTGGCACAACTGTAGCCTGTTATCTTCCTACAAACCGTGATCAGACACCATGGTTTATTGTTTGCTTACAAACTTTGGTTTGTTTTAACTATAGTTGACATTAGAATCATAGAATCTTAGAATTGGAACGGACCTCGAGGGTCATCTAGTCCAACTCCCTGCAAAGCAGGACTCTAAGCTAAAGCATCCATGTCAGATGGCCATCCAACCTCTGCTTAAAAACCTCCAAGGTAGGCAAGTCCACCACCTCTCATGGGAGTCTGTTCCACTGCTGAACAGCTACTGTTTTTTCGAATGTTTAATCGGAATCTCCTTTCCTGCAGCTTGAAGACACTGGTTCAAGTCCTACCTTCCAGAGCAGGAGAAAACAGGCATATTCCCTCCTCAATATGACAGCCCTTAATATATTTGAAGATGGCTGTCATATCTCCTCTCAGCCTCCTTTTTTCCAGGCTAAACATACCCAGCTCCTTCAAGAGCTCCTCATAAGTCTGTTTCCAGACCCTTGATCATCTTGGGTGCCCTCCTCTGCACACGTTCCAGCTTGTCAACATCCTTCTTAATTTGTGGTGCCCAGAATTGGACACAGTATTCCAAGTGTGGTCTGACCAAGGCAGAATAGAATGAACAAGCTTGCTTGTTCTTCCTCTTCCTTCGGACATAGCAGAAGAAACCTTTTGTTTATGATTTTTAACCTCTCTTGCAAGCTCGAGCTCATTCTGAGCTTTAGCCAGCCCGACTTTCCCCCTGCAACTGTTGGCTACAAAGGAAATCTCCTTTGTGATTTCCCCTTTCTTCCATTTCTTATACAGTGCTACCTCTGGTTAAGAACTTAATTCGTTCGGGAGGTTCGTTCTTAACCTGAAACTGTTCATAACCTGAGGTACCACTTTAGCTAATGGGGCCTCCCGCTGCCGCCGCACCACCAGAGCATGATTTCTGTTCTCATCCTGAAGCAAAGTTCTTAACCCGAGGTACTATTTCCTGGTTAGCAGAGTCTGTAACCTGAAGCGTCTGTAACCTGAGGTACCACTGTACATGCCCTTCTTTACTCTCAGCTCATCTGTCATCTCCTTATGCAGCCACACTAGTTTTCTCAACTGCCTCCCACTTTTCTTTCTTGTTGTTATGGTCCGCATTTGGGCCTTCAATATTTCTCCTTTTAGAAACTCCCATCCTTATTGGACTCCCTTCTCACTGAGTATTTCTGACCACGGGATCACACCCAGTAGCTCCTTCAGGTTTTCCCAATTGGCCTTCTTAAAGTCCAGAGTGTGTGTCCGACTATACTCAGTTTTCCCTTGCCTCTGTATCCTGAAACCCACGTGAACCCGGGTCCCCATTCTTGAACCTGGTTTCGCCGCCCTGCTGAAGTCACTCGCCAGGCCACATGGCGTGAGGCAAAAGCGCTTGGGAAACAAAACTGTTTCCAGGCTAAGCTGTTTGCTTTTGAACTTTTCCTGAAGAAGACCTCACTCCAAACGCTGCCTGGCAACAGACTCTTTTCCTCGCCCCCCTCCTCCAGGAGAAGCCCTCCCTAGCCAGGCAGACAGGTTTGCTTTGCGGCTGCTGGACTATGAGGTGAGGGAAGTTTAAAGAGACTGCTGTCCACTCTGCCCAGCTTCCATCTCTAAAGGGACAAATAGGAAAGCAGGAATATATCACGGAAAAGGACACAATGACAATCAAAAGCGCCTTTCTTAAAATTGTTTATGTAATGGGATAGCTTCTCAGAGGGACAGAATTAAGACTGCCGTAGTTTATAGATTTAAAGCTGCTAAGGTTTCAAAAGTTCACACTTCTGCGGGTAACACTGTGAAATCCTAGAGGGGTAAGAAATGGCTCAATCAACAGTAAAGCCTGACCAATAAAAACATAGCCTGTTACTTCAGCTTGCAACTTTAGGGTAATAGTTTTGTTCAGTTACCTAGAGAACAATTAATGCAGTGCCTGGAAGTCTCACTCGCTTGGCTGACCTTGGTAACCTGGGGTGAATATGTGCATTAAGTAGTTGTTTAAGATGTGGTCTTTCAGTACTAGCGGTTCAGAAGTATTCCTTTAAAAAGTCGGCATTCTAGCGCACTTCCACAAAGCTATGGCATGCATCATGATGTGCATTTATCACCCTCCATGGCCAATGACCACCCCCAAACCAACATGATCAAGGCAACTCCCAGCTATGAAGAAAGCTGGTACCATTTGGGACATGCGATTTTAAAAAGGCATCTGAAGGCCTTTTAGGAAATTTTTTAGTGTTTGAAGTTGTATTGTGTTTTTACTATTTTTGTTGGGAGCCGCCCAGAGCGGCTGGGGCAACCCAGTCAGATGGACAGCATATAAATAAATTATTATAATTATTAAATTTAGAGAAAAAGTGAGTAAGCTGTGAACACGTGTTTGGAGTCCATGGCAGCAGCTATGAGCTGCCTTTGAGAGGCACATGGCACAGAGAGCTTCCTTAATTGAAAGGCAAACTACCTTCTGGAATGCATTGTGGAGGCAATATGCAGCGGTGGAGCATATGCCCACTCTGCCCAGGGTGGGCGCACTCCCGAGGCGTGTGTGGCGCAGAGGGTGCCCTCTCAGGCACGGGATAGCCACTCAGGTGCCTGGAGCAGCATGCACACCCTGCAGCCGGGGGCGGAGTGAGCAGCACATGGTGGACATTTGGCATACCACCCGCCCGTGACTCCCAAGCCTCCCCAAGCTGTCAAAACAAGGGAAGGGGGGGTGAAATATACTCAGAGTCGGGTGTGGATTTCATGCTCTTTATTCAGCTCATAGTGGTGAGGAGGAATGGAAGTTCCCCCAGAATGTCTGGCTTATATACATTATTTACACAATGGGCCCCATGTGATTGGCTAATTCTGAGATTCTCCTGTAGGCCAATCAGGGTGTGGATTCCCTTCCACCTGGAGCTGGATTGGGTGGCTCCTGTGGACCAATCAGACTTCATTCTGGATCCTATTGTTCTAGGACCAATCAGACTGCTGCCCTTTTGGGGTTCTCGCTTCGGGCAAGCACATATACTAAAATTGGAACGATACAGAGAAGATTAGCATGGCCCGCTTGCAAAAGTTCTGAATCCTATTGTTCCAGGACCAATCAGACTGCTGCCTTTTGGATCCTATTCAACTCAGTACATAACAGGGGGAATGCTGCCGGCAAAGCGGCGCAGCTCCCCCCTTACCCTGACGGCTCAGGGTAGGCTTGGGAGCCGCGGTCACACAGTATGCTGAATGTCACCCCCCTCAGTGAGGGCACCCGAGGGCGGTCTGCCCCACCGCCCCCCTTCCTACGCCCCTGGAAATATATGCGCGTCTCCTCCAACAATTGTGTCAGCCTAGGAACTGTGTAGCACAGCAATATATGCAAGACAGATCGGTGCTTTCATCCACAACCACCTCCACCGAGGAGCAAGTGGGGCAAGGGGAAAATGCCCCACAGGCATAGGGATAAGGTATGAATTATTGGAGCTACAGTAGCTTTGTTATTGTTCAGAATTACAAGTTGTTATTAAAACACATTGCTCGGTATAGTTTAAAACTGAGAAACTTTTCTGTCTGTCCAGCCCAGGACTGTTTGAAAGGTATGGTAAAGGATCTGATCTACCAGAAATGGTAGCCCCTGTTCTCTGATGCTAGTTATGTATGTATGTATGTTTGCTTATTTGGAGCATTTATTCCCCACCCCCACCCCCACCCCAGAAAAATCTGTGGATGCCCATGAAACAAGTCATGGCTTGCTTGCCCATGGGATAATCTGTAGTTAATTCATGGTTTGTTAAACAAACTATTGCTTAGTGTTAAGTGTGTACCAGACTACCAAGTGTGTATAAGGCTTGTATAAAATTGCTTTTATATAAAGTCAATAACAGACATGAGAACAGAATGTTTTCTTTTTAGTGATAATGCATTAAACAGAAATATTATTTGGAAGTGTTAAAAATGGGAAGAGAAGGGAAAGCATAATTAGTTTTATCTTTTACATGCAGCTCCACATTCTTTTGCATTTAGACTGCACACACATGACCACAGTCCAAAAGCCCCTTTAAAATCAGTTGCCATAAGCATAATTAACTCTGTAGTGGACTGTGATCATTATATTAAGACAACTGGAGTACTCTTAGAATAATTTTTCAATTACAAATTAAAGGATAGCTCCAACATGATATTCTTTTGTGAAGGATTTGGTTCAGTTTTATCCAATTTATTGAAGGGCATTTCCGATCTCAGTATTGCTGACAAAGAACTTCAGATAAGGCACTGAGCTTTAAACCTTCATTCCAACAGAACAGACGTCATCTTGCATCATGAAATGACCTCAGACTTTCACAGTAGCTGTAGCTATGAGTTGGAGTTATCATTACAAATTCATTTGTCATTGCTGCGCCAGCTAATTGCTACATAGAATGAAGTTATTCAAGCAGTATAGATTGCGGTTATTCTCACATTTTTGAAATGTGTTCCTCGGCTATTTAAATCTCTTCACACAGTAATTTATAATTCTCTTTTCAGGTGTCACAGTTTCCTAGACTAATTTGCTTTTATTGGGGACAAATAGGAGGAAATAATAGAACCAGTGTTCCTGTTGGAATACAAAGGAAATTAACATCAACTCTGACTTCTAATTTGTGTGACAGCCAAAGAGTGCTAAGAAATATTTACTTAGACAATTTCTACCTTATGGGAAAGCCAAGGACTGACAGCAGAAACAAAAACTCTATAACAGTGGCAGAGATTATGACTCAGTGGTTTAGTCCTGGCTTCTCGTTAGGTTTATCCACAAACGTGTGTCATGAATTCAAGACTCGTAAGTTCTATTGTCAGGTTTACTCAGAGGCAGTATGGCAGTGCAGAAGGAATTCTCCTCCACCCTTGGATCCTCACAGTGTCATCTGAGAGAGATTTTCTTCGTGGTCTGGGGTCTCTTGCAGTCTGGCCCATCTGTGGATCACTGTGAAATGTTTGCAAGACATTTTTGAGGATGAAATCTGCCATAATTTGGATGCCCTTTCAGGGTCAGGTCAGTCTGTCGAGTACCACTAAACCCAAATGCCATGAAATGGGGCTTTAAAAGCAGTAAGATGTGAGCGCATAGGGAAACTGCACATGTTGTCGTGCGAAAGAAGATCACACCCTGGCTGCACAGGTCTTATTTTTCCGTAGGGAAGTTCCTGACACACATTCAGCTACCAAGGTCCTTGTTCATGATGCAGGCAGGATCCGAGTGAATTAAGTCCATTTGTGCATGCTGCCTCTGTTGTGCTTCCTCATGGTAATTCTATAGTGCAGTGACTTCATCCAGTTTCTCTCCTTGTTCGTTTTATTATCTGGATTCCCCCCCTTGCACATGCTTCCCTCTCTCCCCCTCCCTCTCCCTTGAAAAGTAAGACGCTTGGAGTCTTGGAGTCTGAAGCTTTGTTGTGTAGTCACTGGCTATTGAGACACTACAGATAGCATCTTTTCAATATCACCAAGTGAGCGATCCTTGCATGCCGTGTTTTGTGAGCATCAAATGAGCCTTAATAAAGCTAACGATTAATATGGGGGAGTGGGGAGCCTACAGGAGTCCCCTGCGAACAGGGTGCAGCAGCTTAGCTGGTTATCACTCTATGTGCCCAATTTTTTTCTGTATCTGAACAGCACAGTGAGTCTTTTTTCAGCCTATTTCTCAGTTTCCACTGAGTCTATTTCACAGTGGCTTTGGGTTTTTGGGGTTGTTGGTTTTTTTTTAACATACTGATGTTATTAATCTATTTCAATTAGACTGGCCAAATTTAGATAAAGCTCATTTTCTCAGTGGAACCCTGTGTGCACGAAAACCGGGATTAAGGATCACAAACCAACAGAGAATGGGAAAATCCTGGAGAGAGAGAGAGCCGGCAAGCTGCAGTTGGAGGGAAGCCAAGATCTCAGATAAGAGATGCTTCATTGATTGAGTGAGTGCATTCATACTGATGGAGGAAGGGGGGGAGCAGGGGAGCAGCGAGCTCTTGAGAAACAGTATTTTGAACAAGCTCTCAGTCTTGCTATCTAGCGGTGGATGTTACAGCCACCACAATGGAGAACAGATTTCACAATCCTGCCCAGTGTCTTTACACTAGTGATATACTGAATGCCACCGGGCCAAACGGAGAGGCTTTGTCAAGGCCTTCTTTTTTGGGAAGCCTGCAAGAACAAGCCTGGAAATGTTCTTCTCCCATAATAGGATGTTGCTGTTGGCAGCACAGCAGAAGTGACAAGGCAGGACTCAGAGTTGCTAATAAAGTGGGGGGAAGTTAAAAAGAAGTGACAAATCAGGATTGGATTGTGGCAGCTCTTAAGCAAACACGGGGTTTTTTTAGGTACTGTTTTCACACATCCAGATCTCTAACCCATTTACTGGTGTGTATATATATATATATATATATACACTCACATGTATGATGATAATGATAACAATAATTCCAAGAATCGGAGGTTGTGCTGGGTACTTTTATTCCATTGTATGATTGCTTTTTTTGCTGCTTTAACCTGCATTTTTCTTTACCGTTTAATTATATTGTACTGTTTTATTGTTGTAATTTTATTTTTACTGCTCTAATTTGAATTTTTTTAGTTTGGGTTGTAATCTGCTTTGTTTTTTTGTTTTGTTTTTGTTTTAGCAAAAGGGGGTGGTATAAAATCATTCAGTAAGGGATTTCATCCACCAGCTCCTATGGTAGTTTCTGCTTGCCATTTGCATTCTGCCTTGCTATGGAAGTCTACTCTTTTTCAAAATGTAAAAACAAATTTGCAGTACCTAATTTCGTTTGACAGCTATTGGAAGATGTGCCAGTTTCTATTGGAGATGGCTAAGTACTACTGATAGCGCTGACTTCTTTTTGCTTCTTTTAAGAACAAGGTCCATCCAAGTGCCTGAAACTTACTCAGCCTCAGCTTTTGGGGTGGGAACTGTCCTGTGCTGGAGAAAACTCTGAACCGGTTTTGAAGCATATCTTCTTACCATTTTCAGAAAGGACTTGCAACTTTTTAAGAATAACTTTCTCAACGTACTTTTAAATCCCCTTTTGTATACAATGTGTGTGGCTTTTGGCAATGCTGCTCACTAGTGCTTTTTTCCCCTTAAAAAATGTTTAGGGGTACTATCATTTTGACTCAAGAAAATCACCATTTTGTAGTTCAAATTGGGAAAAATAAATACAGTAAATGGAGAAAAGTACAAAGATTCACAAAATTTTAGGGGTATGCGTACCCCTGCGTACCCCCCAGAAAAACACACACTGCTGGCTTACATACTTGTAAAGATCTGAGCAGAGTTACTCTTTGCTCTCACTAGGCAGTTTCTAAAATAGGCATGTGCAAACAGTGCCAGAAAAAAGGAACAATTGCAACAATTATGTACTGTTTCAATTGATTATTAAAACAATTGAAGCTACATTACTCTGTTCGGCGTCTTATTTTATTTATGAGTTTTATAGACTTTTTAAAAGGCCCAGGAAAGCTTCTAGATGAATCATAACTGACACTCTGAATATTTTTTTCTATTTATTTTACACTGCAATCTAACATCCTTCTTCTAAGGCGATTTGTAGCTTTCCTAAGCAGAGAATCTCCTCTTATGGACCCAATAGGACATATTACTTCCCACGGGCATCTGGTTGGCCACTGTGATGCTGGATTAGATAGACCATTGGCCTGATCCAACAGGCTCCTCTTACGTTCTTACTTTTGTCCCAGACTTCAAAGAATGTGATGTAGATTAATCTGTTCTCTGCTCTAGGATTCAGTTCTGTACAGTGGAAAAATGGTCAGCACTTGCATGGTCTCCATACATTTCGCTACATGAACCGCTATGACATGGGTGAAGAACCTGTAGGCTTCTAGATGTGATTGGATTCCATAAGCCCCAGCCAACATGGCCTGTGGTTAGGGATAATGGTAGACTAGCAACAGAGGGCCGCAGCCCCCCACTGCCATATACTGAAACTATAAGATATTGAGCTTTGCTCAAGTTACAGGGGAGCAACTCATTTTTTAGTTGGGTGCAGAAGGTACAGTATGATTTGGCATCCTAACTCTAGTCAGGAGCCCTACATTGACCTCTGGATTTCTCCACTGTGTGTCTCTCTGTGCTGGACTAAGGAGAGCAGTCTGGTCTTCTGCATCACTATCCCAGCCCACCTATGTGATGTCCCCTAGGCTGACCTTTAAAGCCCTAAACAGCCTCGGCCCAGTATATCTGAAGGAGCTTCTCCATCCCCATTGTTCAGCCCGCACACTGAGGTCCAGCGCCAAGGGCCTTCTGGCAGTTCCCTCACTGCGAGATGTGAGGTTACAGGGAACCAGCCAGAGGGCCTTCTTGGTAGGAGCGCCTGCCCTGTGGAACGCCCTCCCATCAGATGTCAAGCAAATAAGCAACTATCTTGCTTTTAAAAGACATCTGAAGGCAACCCTGTTTACTGGAGTCTTTAATGTTTGATGTTTTATCGTGTTTTTAATATTCTGTTGGGAGCTGCCCAGAGTGGCTGGGGAAACCCAGCCAGGTGGGCAGGGTATAAATAATAATAATAATAATAATAATAATAATAATAATAATAATAATAATATTAGGCTGCCTGTCCCTCTCTCCCCTATCACACCCTATGTGTGTACTTGGTTTACTCAGATATTCCCCTCTTGTCAGTCAGAGTGTCTTGATACTCACCTACACTTTGCAAGGATCCTAGCTGTCTTAAACTCTGTTTACGCTGGATGACCCTTTTTGTAGCCAAAGTGGAAAAGCCTCCCTGCTTTAAAACATGCCATATGTTTGGACAGAGGCAAAGCGTCTGCCATAGAAGTCCTGGCTGACCTCCTTCCTTTGGGGTGATTGCCTCATGTGCTTCCAGACCATAATATAAAAATAAGTACAAGACCCAGGGCCAGAGAACTCCCAAGCTGCAAAAGTCCCCAGTGAATGATTTCCCTTCCCTGCTGAATGTTGTGTAGAATAAGAGAAAGTATCATTTCTCTACCTTTTATAATGGCAAGTAGATACACTGGAAAGGAAGAGGAAGGCTGTAGGCCTCGCAAGAGACTCACTGGGGGTAGGCCTCTGCTTTAAATGAAGGCTGATTCACAAACTGCTTCTGGCAACACAATATCCCGAATAGATAAGAAGCTCTTGTTTCCCCTCCTGATAACAGCAAGCTGAACCTAATTTCCCCAGAAAGAGAAATGCTAAGCTTGGATATCAGAGAGCCTGGGCACAACAAAATCCTCACCACTGCAGCGGAGATATGTGGAGCTCAATTATCGCAACTTCTGGATGGGATTTATAGAGGGGCAAAGGTGCATCTCTTACATGACATTGAGAGGTTGATAGACAGATGGAGTTCTAGAATGAAGGAGCAGAAGCCTTTCTGGCTACTAGAGAGACCTCAATCCTTCACTACTAGGAAAGGCTTTCTGAGTATAAAAGAGTGTGGGCACCTCAGGAAGAGACCCAAGTGCTGCACCCAGCTGAATAACTAGCCCTTGGAAAAAAGCAAATACAGAAGAATTAGATATACATGATGCACATGTATTGATGCATGCATTCACATGTGCAAAAATATGTGTATTTGGAAAAGACACATTTTTCAAAAAAGTCTCATTTCTCAAATATTTTGAAATAGCTTTCCGCTAAGCTCTTAGTTGTTTATCCCTGAGGTGCACATGTAAGACTTATCTTTTCTCTCTCTCTCTCTCTCTCACATACACACACACACACGTTTGTGCTGGTTTGGGGATAGAGTGCTTACATTTATCAAACAGCGAAATGGTGCAGGCAAAATATCCAGCTCCCCATTATTGCATGTTGGGAAAGTTAGACCATCTAAAGTAAAATGTTTTTCTGTACCATACTACCACCTACTGGAACAAGCCATTTCTACAGTGGTGTCTGTCACAACTGTGATGAGCAATGAAAAAACTTGTTCACATATGCCCCTATGCTTAGCATCTTTGTCTGCTTTCAACTCACTTGGCATAACAACTGGCATAATGGCTGTGGTGTCCCTACATGGAATTGATGTTTCTGTTTAGATAACTCCAGCATGTGTTTTGACAGCAACAATGCTTCCAGGAAAGTGATATGGTAGCAGATGCCCTGTGTACAAGATAAAGCACAAATCAGCTAAGCACAAAGTACATAGATTTAAGCCAATATGCAGCCTGATCCTATGCAGAATTAGATGCCCCCAAGCCAATTAAAATCAAGGGGCTTAGGCACTCCTAACCCCACATGAGTCTGGTCTGAGTGACTTGTATTGACTCAAATCCAAATACCCTACCTTAAGTAGTTCTGTGGAGCAGATTACGGTAACCAAGGGGAGCTTCCTGGTGAATGATGTGCTGTCAGAAAATTTTCCACCATTTTTGTTTTGTTTTAATGTGTTTGTTTATTGCCTAAAACATTGTAAGTTGCTTTGAGTTGCTGTGGCAAAAAAGTGACTAATAGCTTTAATAAATAATAACAATTCTGCTTCTACCTTCCTGAAGATTAACCATCTTGCATTACTTTTATGTTGTCCCAGCACTATATAGTAGTAAAATTTCCTGGACGCTCAAAATTCCTACTGAACAATTCCCGCATGCTGTTGCAGGTTCTGGTTGCACGACTCTATGCAAAGCATGCTACTTACATATGTTATGTTGCTTTTCTATATTAAGTGCTGAGCAATGTTTAATATATCACTGTGAATTTGGGGATTCCATTGAAGGAGCCATGCAAGTTTCTTGCTGAGTTAATGTGCCCTAAGTATTAGTATAAGAAAGGAAGCTGCTCTGTTTTAGAATGGCAAATGGTTGGGCTCCCTCCGTCACCTGACTGGTAGTGAGAAGAACAAAGGCAGATTGGTTGTGTGCAAGAGCTGTGCTAGAAGCAGACAGCAGGAAGAAGCCTGAGAGCGGGAGCTATGCCTGATTTCTGCTTGAATCCAATGCTGTGACTTTGGGAGAAGCAAGACTTTCTGGGTTGTTAATGCTGCAAGCCCCTTAATCATAGGCTCAGGTTGTATGTATGTGTAAATAAACCATATATCATAAAGACACCACAGCCCCTCATTTCAAGGAAATCGAATCCTGGGCAAGCACCTGGAACCCCTGGAATCTTGAACTGCTTGGAGACTGGGGTGGCATGCAACATTATTATTACCTAACCACTGCATTCATCTGATGTTGTTCTGATAATCCCATTCAGTAACACTCACACTTGTGCAGATTATTCATTCAAGAAGGGTGAAGGCAGGGAACCATGGTACACAAAAATATTTGCTTTCTTTTTACCTTTTAATTCAATTGAAGAATACTGTTGCACAGGTGTAAAAAATCAAAGCCAGTAAATTACTACAACTTAAAAAAGCATAGAAGTCCATTAACAAATATATATTTGTTGTAACTTTGTCTAGCCATCCCTCTGGTCCATTTATTTTCTTCAAGAGTGCACTTCTGCTAGTCAATCAGATGAAGGTCCTGAAGTATTTGAGAATGACAGAGATGTACAGTAATGTCCCTCTGCATCTGGAGACAAAATAAACAGTGTGATGCTTAGGATATATGAACGGAGCTATAGCAAGGTTTCTAGAGACTTAAGGCAAAGCACTTGTGCCAGACCTTATTGTTGGCAGTGAATAAATGCCACTGTACACTGCAGACACTTTCTCTAAAACTGCCTAGTCTCCTATACGATGCTAATAGTATATTCCTGATGCTTTTTTTCTTAGGCTTAATAGTGTTGTTTAGCTGAGCTTATTCAGCTGTACCCGGTGAGGCCAAAACTGGTTTCATACTACAGTTTGTTTGTTTTCATCTTAGGTAGTTCTGTTCAGTTCTCACTATAAAGTCTCTTTGCAAGAAAAAAAGAAACAGGGAAAAATCACTTCACTGCAGGAAAACGATAATATGAATCCACTGTTTTTATTTTATTTATGGGATTTCTACCACTTGATAGTATCTATCAAGAGCCATAAAACCACACAGTGTGATGTAAAACAATAAATCCAGCTTGACAACAGGACCATACTCTAGAAGTCATTTTCTTAATACCCATGACTAATATGAAAAGGGGTTGCATGAAAAGACAGGAAGAACTGAAGTGACAGTTAAGAATTTCTGCAGGAAAGGTAGAGAGGGATTTAGTTAGTTAAAATATTTTTATCATTTTTAAGCTAGAAAAGACTCCCGGCGTGGTTTACAATAATATGATCCCTTGAAATTTAATAAACAATGTGGAGGATATTGTTTCATTTGTTACTATGTTATGCATTTTTGTGTTTTTATATTGTAAACCACCGTGTGACCCTTGGCTGAAGGGCAGTATAGAAATTTTAATAACAATTCCTTTTTTAGGGGCAGTGATGGATGCTATCCACCCTGATTTTACACTGTTCAGCATGCCTAAACTTATTTTAACCAAACGCCATACCTTCTCTGCATAGGATTGACCGGTAAGCTCCTCCAAGGTCACCTTTGTTTTTGAAATGAGATGCTATGCAGAAAATATCACTCTGACTGCATGTTTGATCATCCAGTAAAGTGTCCAAGGTGAACAATAAAGTTTCTTTTACCCTGGTTTTTCTATTACCCCAATATCCTGTTTTTCAGGCCAAAACATTTTTTTAAAACTATGTATTTAGTTCTAAAGCTGGCACAGTTGATATTTGAATCAACAATGACAACAATTTCATGGTCTTAAGTAAAGAATGGTTCAGGTTACATCACTATACAAAAAGTAAATCCGTGAAGCCCTGATTCCAACAATACAAATGGGGATATTGTACAGAAATATTTTATTCATATTTATGTGTATGTATTTAATCTAAAACTGATACTAAGAGTGATAACCAATGTTGGTCATGTTCAGATTAGAGCTACTGAAATAAGCTACAGTTGTACCTCAAAAGTCGAACGGAATCCATTCTGGAAGTGCGTTCAACTTCTAAAAAGTTCGGAAACCAAGTCGCAGCTTCCAATTGGCTGCAGGGAGCTCCTGCAGCCAATTGGAACCCATGTCAGATGTTCAGGTTCCAAAGAACGTTCGCAAACCGGAACACTTGCTTCCGGGTTTGCAGTGTTTGGGAGCCAAAATGTTCAACTTGCAAGGCGTTCAGGATCTAAGGTACGACTATATTTACTTTCAATGGATTTACTCTGAGCTAGACAATTCAGAGCAGCCAGAAGTAAGTATTTGTACTCTTTTCTAATGAAAGTGCATATGAAACAGACCCAAAATCTAGACTGACTCAAATAAATTCTTCTGACCCCATTTGAATGTAGTTCTTCCCTCACTGCTAACAGAAAGTGTAGCATATTAATTGTCTCCCTGCACATTCACTGGCTCTTGTTCATATTGGATCATTCACCTCATAAAAGAAATATCAGTATTCTATATGATTGAACCTATTATGTCTTCCTTCTATTTTCATGGTGGGTTGCAATATGGATCAATTTAGTCCATGTCATTTCTTCCTGGGGAATTAAATATATGAATCCCTGTGGACCCACATGTGTGGGTGAACAACAAAAGAATCAGCTGGGTGCCTAGATTCAAAAAGCACACAGAAAGCCCCAAGAGAGTTTAAAGCACAAAAGTCAAGCAGCAGTGTAGCATTAGGTTGTTAGACTCCTCTTATCTCATTTACAATGCTCCCACTCTTTCTACCTCTTTTGCAAAGAACAGACCACACACTGCTAAGTAAGTTTTAAATGTTTTACTTACAGATTCAAAGGTCTGGTACATGCATTGCTCCATGCAGTTGCAAGGAGGACACAGGCAAAATATTATTGGGTAGAAAATACAGCTAGTAGTTTCAAACACATGCTCTAAGCTTGATAGCAAGCTTACACACATCCTCCTTTGTTGGTTACATGGTGCAGAGAGAGAGAGAGAGAGAGAGAGAGAGAGGTAGAAAGCCTCACTTCCTCCCTCTCCAGAGAGGTGGAGTGACCTAGCTGAGTCTAGGAACACAGCTCTATTTTCCTAAATCCCTTCATGCAGTAAATAACCCTATGCTTGCCACTAGCTCTATGCTTGCTAGTTATGTTTGACTGCAATTTCCAATAATTCTCTAGTGTCCCATTTGTAAAAGTGTGCGTAGAATTACATGCTTAAGTACCTCTCATCCAGCATCAAAAACTTGGTAATTATGCAAATAGAATTAAACTGAGGGGAAACTCCCACTAGTATGCAGGAAACAGGTAGCCTGGTAAACACTTGCCCTTGCCTTGGTTTTAGTGAACAGAGTGGTAAAACTGACCCAAGTTGCTAGCAACTTCTGCCCTTCTCTCCTTTTAAAAAGGAAAAAATGTGGGCATTGCGCATAGGGTGTGGCAACTTTGCCCATTTATTTTTATTTCTAAAGGGCCACATGAGCACATGTGGACATGTGCTGTAGTTCATGCAATAAATACACTATAAAACTTTAGGTTGGTTTTTTTAACCCCACCCCCAGCTCCTTAGTGAAGAAATATATCGTACCCATCTAATGCAGAAGTATTACTAGTAATGTAATAGATGTGTGGCAATACCAGCAATGCTGGAAACACCTCTGAGAGAGCTGAAACTAGATGCAGAAGTAAGCTCAATGATTCAAAATCCTGCAGAGCTGGTTTGACTAGAGACCATGGTGGAACACATACACCAATTAACAACTGTATTATGATTATTCTGCTTCCAAGTATCTGAAAAGCTATTTTCTGTACATGACTTTTGTACCTTGTTTCCCACAGTAGAAGAGTCAGCTGAGTGGCTGACTAGTAAATGGACTCTGAGCAGGTTTTTTTGTTTTTGTTTTCTTGACGCTGGATTTTTTCCGCTTCTCTGTGGGTGCTTTTGGTTTCTTAGCACATTCTGCCTTCTCAGCATTGCGTATTTTCAGTGCTTCTAAGAAGGCTCTTTGTGTCCATGGGGTTGGAGGGATTCCCAACCAAGGCTGAAATACAAGTAGCAAAATAAGATTTGACTTTGCAAAGCCATATACAGATTCATCTTATCTCTTTCTTTGCAAATAATAATTAAACTAGAGAAAGGCATAACTTGTTCATTTTTAATATTTGCTGTCAATTTTTACATATATTATGTAATGTATACATATATAACAACATCTAATATTGCTGTTAGAACTCCCAGAAGTGCAAGCTGGATTTCGAAGGGGCAGAGGAACCAGAGACCAAATTGCAAACATGCGCTGGATTATGGAGAAAGCTAGAGAGTTCCAGAAAGACATCTACTTCTGCGTCATTGACTATGCAAAAGCCTTTGACTGTGTCGACCACAGCAAACTATGACAAGTTCTTAAAGAAATGGGAGTTCCTGATCACCTCATCTGTCTCCTGAGAAATCTCTATGTGGGACAAGAAGCTACAGTTAGAACTGGATATGGAACAACTGATTGGTTCAAAATTGGGAAAGGAGTACGGCAAGGCTGTATATTGTCTCCCTGCTTATTTAACATATGCAGAATTCATCATGCGAAAGGCTGGGCTGGATGAATCCCAAGCCGGAATTAAGATCGCCGGAAGAAATATCAACAACCTCAGATATGCAGATGACACAACCTTGATGGCAGAAAGTGAGGAGGAATTAAAGAACCTTTTAATGAGGGTGAAAGAGGAGAGCGCAAAATATGGTCTGAAGCTCAACATCAAAAAAATGAAGATCATGGCCAATGGTCCCATCACCTCCTGGCAAATAGAAGGGGAAGAAATGGAGGCAGTGAGAGATTTTACTTTCTTGGGCTCCATGATCACTGCAGATGGGGACAGCAGCCACGAAATTAAAAGACGCCTGCTCCTTGGGAGAAAGGCGATGGCAAACCTAGACAGCATCTTAAAAAGCAGAGACATCACCTTACCAACAAAGGTCCATATAGTTAAAGCCATGGTTTTCCCAGTAGTGATGTATGGAAGTGAGAGCTGGACCATAAAGAAGGCTGATCGCCAAAGAATTGATGCTTTTGAATTACGGTGCTGGAGGAGACTCTTGAGAGTCCCATGGACTGCAAGAAGATCAAACCTATCCATTCTTCAGGAAATCAGCCCTGAGTGCTCACTGGAAGGACAGATCGTGAAGCTGAGGCTCCAATACTTTGGCCACCTCATGAGAAGAGAAGACTCCCTGGAAAAGACCCTGATGTTGGGAAAGATGGAGGGCACGAGGAGAAGGGGATGACAGGACGAGATGGTTGGACGGTGTTCTCGAAGCTACAAACATGAGTCTGACCAAACTGTGGGAGGCAGTGGAAGACAGGAGGGCCTGGCGTGCTCTGGTCCATGGGGTCACGAAGAGTTGGACACAACTAAACAACAACAAATATTGCTGTTTTTAAAATCAGTATCAGTAATATGCACTTATTAGCAATGCAATTCACATTACATGAAAAACAAACTTTCGATTGATTTCTCCTAACCCTTTAAATGCAAAAGGCTGCGCAACATGATACTTGGCACGTCCTACTTGCCCCTAAAGGACCTACTTTAGTAAACATGTTTAGGATTCCAGTAAAAGTCACAAACTGAGCTACTTGCATTGAATAGCTCAAACTGCACAAGTTGGTGATTTAGGCAGGAATCCTGTGCATGCTTACAAACACAGAATTTACTTCGGAATAAGTGCACATAGCTAAAATGTATTTATAGTGGCTTAAATTATTTGTTGGTAAGTGCCTGTCCTTCTGAGGTCTGTGTCTGCAATCTAGGGAAGCCTCAAAAACACCTTATGGGAATTACTTTTTCATATAAAAGTGACAGTTTATTCTGCTATTATCATATAATTAAATAATTTTGCTGTAGATATTTCACTGGATACATTTTAAATAGCATTAGCATTTATTATTTGTTGAGCAGCTGTATTTACTTTTATGTCATTGCCATTATCTATGTTAAATCTGGCTGTATATGATTTGTTAATATGGCAAAACAGCATCTTGAGACACCTATGTGGCTTGAAGCCCAAACTGAACCTCTTTTGACTAATAGGATTTAGCTCCAAGTAAATAAATATGGGTTTAGAATTCCGACCTAATGCACTAAACATAGTTACTCAAGAGTAAGGCATGCTGAGGTGAGCTCCAGCCTATGGGTGTTTGCCCGAAAGTAAGTTAGCTTGAATTCAAAATAATTACTCCCAAGCCTCGGCCTGTAAAGCGAGATGAACGCCGCAACCCGAGAGTCGTCTGCGACTGGACTTAACTGTCAGGGGGTCCTTTACCTTTAAATCTGATTTACGATGCAGGAGTAGCAACCTGCTCCACCGTGGTATCTTTGCAAAAAGTTAAAAGTCGCGCACAGCCTAAATTTCAAATCTGGGGTGCGTGTGAGATGATACATTATTAAATCCAGTGGTGTCCTGCTGTTTTATTGCGATTGTATCTTATGTTTTTAATAGATTTTTTAGATTTTTAATTCTATTAATGTTCAATTGTTTTTAACGATTGTTTCCCCCCGATGTTTTTAGGTGTTCTTCTTTTATGGGCGAGTTGCCCTGAGTCCCTGTTAAGAGTCAAAGGCAGAGGATAATATAAGAATAACACGTTTTACTCTAGAACGTAAAATGGGATCGTTCTATCCCTTCGTATCTCTATGATATCCTAGATACAGTTAGAGAACGAGGGCCCAACTTCCGTTTTAGACCGGAAAAGCTCACTGGTGCTAGAGCGGCGCTTTCTCTCACTGAGTCTCTCTGACCCGTCGCTCGTTGGCCTCGCGGGAATCCCAGGGCGGAGCTAGGTACGAAGCGGCACCGGAAGGAGAAGTCGAAAAGTCTCGCTCCTAAGCCGGAAGCCGTCTGCACGTGTTGGCCGGCGCTTCCCCATCCCGGGTCCAGGCATGGAGCTGCTTCACCCACCACGCGTGTCCGCGCTCTTGGCCTATCGCTCCGCCGTGCAAGTCGGGGACCGGGAGCTGCCGCCGCGCCCGAGGCACGGGCTGTCCGTCTCGCTGAGGCGCCACAAGGCCAAGAAGCGGCCCTCTAAGAGGGCGCTGGCCGCCGAGGACTGCGCGGAGGCACCAGGGGCCGCCAACGGGGAGCCGCCCAGGGATGCTCGCCCCGTCCCGGATGCGGCCGTGAAACTGGCGAAGAGACGGAGAATGAATGCGAACTCCAGGGATGCGGCAGCGGCGGCGGCCTCCAAGCGTGAGCGCGGCCTGGCAAGCGGAGAAAGCCCTGCTCCAGCACCCCATAAGGAGAAGAAGGCGCCTTCCCCCCAGCGTCCTTTTATGGGCTGCCCACTCCAGCGCCTCCTCCAAGAGCTGGGGCAAGTTCAGCATAGCCGGCAGCGAGCCGCCAAACTCTTCGAGTGGCTCATCGCTCCCACTTCGCCTCGTCACTTCTTTGACCGGTACTGGGAGAAGAAACCTCTCTTGCTCCAGAGGCACAATCCAGGTTATTACCAGGGCCTCTTCTCTACAGCAGAGTTTGATGCCATCTTGCGTGACAGCGATGTTCGGTTCGGCGTCAACTTGGACGTGACCAGCTACGAAGATGGGAAGAGGGAGACGCACAATCCGGAGGGCAGGGCACTGCCGGCTGTGGTGTGGGATTTCTACAGGAATGGCTGTTCCCTCAGGATGCTAAACCCCCAGGCTTTTTCTTTCACCCTCTGGCAGTTCCTCTCCATCCTCCAGGAGCAGTTCAACAGCATGGTGGGAGCAAACACTTACTTGACCCCTGCTGGTACACAGGGCTTTGCTCCTCACTATGATGACATTGAAGCCTTTGTGATCCAGCTGGAAGGAAAGAAGCATTGGCGGGTTTACAGCCCGAGGAAAGAGGCGGAGGTGTTGCCTCAGTTTTCGAGTAGCAACTTTAGCCAGGAGGAGATTGGAGAACCCATTCTGGAGACTGTATTAGAAGCTGGAGACCTGCTCTATTTCCCCCGGGGGTTTATCCACCAAGGCGACTGTCTCCCAGATGCACATTCACTCCATATAACAGTATCCTCATACCAGCGAAACTCCTGGGGAGACCTGTTAGAAAAGCTCCTTCCTGCAGCACTGCAGATGGCCATTGAAGAGGATGTGGACTATCGCCGTGGGCTACCCACAGACTACCTGGAATACATGGGAGTCCTGAACTCGGATGTTGTTGATCCTCGCCGAGATGCCTTTATGCAAAAGATCAGAACACTAATAACCAAACTAATGGATTTTGCACCAGTTGATGCTGCTGTGGATCAAAAAGCCAAGGCTTTTCTTCACGACTGCCTCCCGCCAGTGCTGACTGAGAGTGAAAAGGCATTGAGTGTGTATGGACATCCAGCACGGTGGGAAAATGGAAATGTCCAAAATCTTGATGTCCAGTTGAAGAAAAAGACACAGGTACGGCTGCTTCAGTATGGAATTGTCAGATTGTGCAATGAAGGAGATGCCACATTGTTGTATTATACTGCAGAAAATTCAAGGGTGTACCACAAGGAGGAGCCCAAATACTGTGAAATAGAGCCTGAACATACAGATGCTATTGAATTTTTGCTTTCTTCCTACCCAAAGTATGTTAGTGTGGAAGACCTTCCTTGTGCTACGCTGGATGACAAAATTGCCTTGGCCACAGTCTTATTTGAGAAGGGATTGTTGATTACTAAAAACCCTCTGTTGCCTGTATAACATGTTAAATATGATCAAAATAAATGTGTTGGAAGAATAATCTTCTATTGTACTTACTAGTATATTTAAGATAGCAATCCAAACCTCTGAGAACTTCCTGCTTGGACATTGAAAGCTTTCTGAATAGGGGGAAAAAATACCTGTTAGTTTAACTACAAATAGATTGATGCTATCTGCCTATTAAAATGCAGAATTGTGTACACAGTAAAGTACATCTGGTCCGGAGTCAGTCAACATGACACCCTCCAGATGTTGCTAAGCTCCATCTCCCTTCTGCCCCACCCAGCATAGCCAATGCACAGAGATGATGGGTGTTGTACTCTAGTGACATTTGGATGCCATCAAATTGGCTACCCAGAACAACACTGTTAATTTGTAAGCCAGCTCTTTTTTATTTGTAGATCAGATTAAGGGTGATGAAGGCCTTCATTTCAATGAAGTTTGCAGAAGTGCAAATAAGTTTCTTTTCCTTTGGCAAAATAAGATCATCCCATATTTAAGTATAATAAATACAATATTTCTAACGGGGATGTTTAAATTGTGTGTTTGATTAGAAATTAAAATATACAGTGACTGTATCTAATACAACTGGTAGCCATAAATCTGTGTGCACACAGAAATATGGCTAGGTGACAGTTTAATTACACAACATTTCTATAAATTCATTGATCCTAATCCTACATATTTTACAGGTGCAGGATCCTAAACTGTTTGAATATGGAACACTTATTTCTGTAAAGCAAAACAAAACCTACCAAGGATAGTGAATGCTTTTTTGTTTTGGTGTAGACAAGCATTTCAACATGACACATAGAAGCTAAGCTGTCAATTAAAAGCAGTGTTTTAACACAATGAGTACATGAACACTGGATTTTTTAAAAAGCTGATCAAAGCAGCCTTAGCAAAATGGACAGATTTCAATTTCTCATACACTTATGTGGACAACTTCATATCTATAGGACCTACTCCTGCAGCTACACTTGACTTTCTGTGAAATGTTGTTATTACCCATCCTTCATCATAAAGCCCTAGAGCAAGTTGCAGGAACAAAAAAAATGTACAATTTAGTAAATTCTTCCCAAAAATGAGGTTTGCATCCAGAGCTGAATTTAAATGCATTGCAGAATACAAGCCTCACCTTTGGCAGGAATCTTTGTATCCATGCCTTGAACTAAAATGAGAATGCTCCTGATCCTTCCTTTGAAGTGGAATTGCCTTACATCATATGTCACATGACCTGACAGCTGTGTGGACTGCCCCTCCCAAAAGTGGTCTCGTGATGGTGAACCAGTACTGGAATCAGCCTGCCAGCCAGATCCAGTTCCCCACCCCTACTTTAAAGTTTGTGCCAAGCACCCTTTCTGAAAAAAGAAAAAAATAAATATGCAAAAGCAAATGAGCATTCTACCATACTGCCTTCCCCACCACCCTGATTTACCAGTGAAAATATCTTGAACAACATCAAGGAAGATGTCCCTTATTGAACGGTACGCAAAGATGTCTCCCTTCTCTCGATAGATGCGGTGGGCTTCCTGCCACGTGTTCTTTGTTATCTCCTTAATCTTGAGCACTTTCTCAATTACCAAGTCTTTTTGGCTTAATGTGGCAACCTGCGTCAGAAATAGTTATTTTTGTTAAAATTACGTGCTACTTGTCATGTAAAAACTTGTCCAGGTGGTGCACAATGGAAACAAACCAAATCCAATGTACTAAAACCAAAAATACAACGATCAGTAGCCCAAAGATTAAAATTCTGTAGTCTTGGGGGTGTAAGACTAATGGTGAAACTAATGCACCAGCCCTTGTAGAAGGGTAGATCACTTGTCACTAGGTGCTCCATTCAGCAGAACTTAATTCTAGTTGACTAGATCGGAACAATATGCTCTTACCTAAATAGGGACAGAGTGGGGCAGATCTGTATTTGGAGAGTAGGACTGCTAAATGTTTTTCACTTTCATAACTGATGTCTGTGTCTGCTTTCCACAATTCCTTCTGGTTTATATATTGACATACATTGCCTCCACTTCTTTTTCAGGGGCTGGTAGGAGCCAGTTGTGATGTGAAAAATTAGTAATGGTATGACTGGGCTTCAGAGAGCCTAGACAGTTGCATTAAGACTGCCCAGAGCCCTGTGTGCCCTAACAAGCCAGAGCTTAACTCTTCAGTAAGATTCCTAGTTTCCTTAACCTCCAGGATGTAAGACTAGACTAACTAACTAACTAACACACTAGCCCTCCTAGAAGGGTAGAGAGACAAAAAGGGGCATTACAGCTAATTGCTCTATAAACTGCTAGATCTAAGTGCAAGAAGCTATGTGGTCCAGTTTTCACAGGACCATGCCACCTCCAGAATGAACATGAAGATTTTATGTGAAAGTAAGGGCACTTCCAGATGACCTATTTATTGAGCATTTGTCCTGCAGCAAGATTCGATGATAATAGCTATTTTAATTAACGTTCATTATGATCTGTGTTTAGGGAGATAAGAGGATGTGTCAAAGCAAGTGGTAACTCACAAGTGCTGTCTCTCAAGTTTAGACTTCCTCCCTTGCTTACTGCAAAAAGTGTGATTTTAGGGGGAGGGGAGCAGGTCCGTCCCCCCCATTCAGCTATAATTGAACATCCTTGGAAAGGGGGAGTATTCATAATATATTTCTGAATTCTTTACTCCTACAAAAAAAAAGAATCTAGTTCTTTCTGCTAATTGCAGTTTTCTCCCACCTTATTCTTGATCATCTGAATCGTTTCGTGTTCCTCTTCCTGTTCAAAATTGAAAATCTTCACAGCACGGCTCACTTCCCTAAATTGGAAACAATGGACGGTGTGTTATTTACATGCTTCAGAGATCTCAGATGAAAGCCTGGCAGAGGAAGGAGTTCTGCCAAATCAGTACACTAGCCATCTTCTATTTTCATTTTTTCATTTCACTTTTAATTTGTATGCTGCCTTTCTATATTACTATTCATAAGGCAGTTTACAGCAACAAAAGATACACCAAAGAACACAGACCTTAATCTGATCCGATACAAAAACATCATAATAAAACATAATAAATACAATACAATAACTTCTCTCAGTCTATATTTCCTATGTGCATACAGCCAGCACCTTATTCTGTGAGATATCTGCAACAGTGTAAGTAGATCCTTCTGCCCCTACAGCAGTGTACAGTGGTACCTTGGGTTACAAACTTAATCTGTTCTGGAGGTCCATTCTTAAACCAAAGCGTTCTTAAACTGAGGTGCGCACTTTCCCTAATGAGGCCTCCCGCCGCCGGTGTTTGGCTTCCGTTCATCTTCCGGGGCAAAGTCCGCTAACTGGAACACCTACTTCCGGTTTTGTGGAGTTCGTTGTCTGAAGCGTTCGTTAACAGGACTGTTCGTAGACTGAGGTACCAGTGTATAGCCAGTGGCGTAGCGTGGGTTGTCAGCACCCGGGGCAAGGCAAGTAATTTGCACCCCCTAACCCGTGGATTTGTGCCCCCTAACCCTAACCCCCAGATGTTGCGCCCGGTGCGGCCGGCCCCCCCTGCACCCCCCACGCTACGCCACTGTGTATAGCTAGAGAAGGCCTCCCCTACGGGTCCTTTGGGCTTATCTGAAGCTGGTTCATGCTTCCACTTGTCTCCATATGTCTGCTGCACCCTCTGAAATCTTTGTGATGCAATACAAGGGGAAGTGGGTGTAAGAGACACTAAAATCTGTCTTTGCCATGCATACGAGGCAGGTTGGGGAAGAGATGGGTATTGGTACCACAGACCTGGAGTGGCATGCTGGCAAAGGCCACCAACTGTAACCTTACACTGCGTTCTTCTGTACCACCCTGTGATCTGCTTGGTCTGTGCAGCAGTTCATTGGAGAAGGTTATTAGGGTAGGTGGTAAAAATGATAAAAAAACAGATGTAGCTAGCAATTCTGGCTGGTTGAGGCTTGGAAGGAGCACATGACTACGCGGAAGAGGGGAGTGGGGTGAGGAATGGATCAGGTTTAAGTATAGTACTTCTCAGAAGTAATGTTGATGTTTACAGTGAAAGTTTCCATCCCATCTAAGGCACTTGGAGGCCACAACTCCAGTTCTCAAGTTAATCTTGAAAGTAGGCTTTACTGTTTCTTAAAACTATTTGCAAACTTTTGAATAGTCTAGAATATGAGTTGTATCCAGTGCTGTCTGTGCACAAGTGAAACAGACTTCTGCAGCAGAACTTCACATCACACTCCTCCCTGAAGCCTTCCACATGCCCTCAAAATCTGCACAAGTCAGTTGGGGGTACATCTGATACAAATTTAGATAGTCATGGGGTGTTTATGAACAAGGTAAAAATCTGCAAGGCCTTGTATCATACCCTGCCAAATATGCCCTCAAAGCTTATTCTGTTTGTGTTACTTAAGAACAGCTAGAGCTTATTCTGGACTGCTAATTCTGAAGCCACTCTAGTGTTAATCTGAGAGGTGCTCATTGGAATACCTGTAAGGAAAGAAACAGAATTACAAGCAAAGGCTAAACATTAACTCATGATGGGGTTGCCAGATCATACAGGCCCTGACCCCCTAGCTACATGTTTGGTGTGTGAGAGAAGGGGACCAACTTATAAGTGTAGCTCATGTAAGGGGGAAATCCTGACTCACTCAGGCACCACTCTTAAGTGGAGGAGATCTATACACATAACCCGTTGGCCTTACGCTCACCAAATGGGTGGTGGTGGGAGTGCCCAGTGAGAAACAGAACTTAGTTTCCGGACTTCGGCTTTTCTTTTCCCCCTCCCCCAAGCACAAAGTTCATTCCCAGAAGCTGTAAATGTGTTCCACAGGAGCATTATCCTGAAGAAGTACAGTGGTACATCGGGTTAAGTACTTAATTCATTCCGGAGGTCCGCTCTTAACCTGAAGCACCACTTTACCTAATGGGGGCCTGCTGCTGCTGCCGTGCCGCCGGAGTACGATTTCTGTTCTCAACCTGAAGCAAAGTTCTTAACCTGAAGCACTATTTCTGGGTTAGCGGAGTATGTAACCTGAAACGTATGTAACCTGAGGTACCACTGTTAAGGTATTGCACATCTGCCAAGAAGAACCCAGGAGAAGGAAGTGGTTTTCTAAATGCGTAAGTTTTTCTCCATTTAGGAAACAAGGGACTTACTCTTTGACCATCTCATTTGGCTCCATAATCATTCTCTCCAGCAAAGTAGCCCGAACTGTTTCATCCTTCATCTTGAGGGTGATGAGACTACGACAGGCTTCCCTTCGCACCCCGGGATCTTCTTCATAATGAAGGGCCCAGAGGAGAAGTTCTTTCAGGTAAGGACTTGCCTCTCCTATCTGACCCAGAGCTGACAGAAAATAAAAGAGTGTTCATTTCAACATTTATGCCAGGAAGATGAGGCAATGTTCCAAGCACCACCATCACCTAAAGTTCTACATCCTACACTCTGAAACAAAATGTTATCCTTTCTCCCTGAAGTGGAAGGAAGGAATTGCCTTATTGTGGGAATCTCTTTTGTGCTGCAACCTTCCTTGTAGCACAAAATAGATTATACCCAAATCATCTTTTGTAGATGCAGGTATTATTGCTGATCTTACTCATCTTTTTTTGGAAATCAAGCCACTGTTGACTTATTAACTCAATGACAGTCCAGGATTGTGCTCCTGGACATACCGTTTTTGGCAAAGTTTTAAATTAGAAAGCAGGATGCTGACTCTGATGCTGACTCTTTTAATGTGAAATTTCAGCAGCAGGAAAAGTATTTTGAGGCATGTATAAAGTTCATTGTATCTGCTCATTAAATAAGTATGCTAGCTGTTGCAGTATCAGATAGGATGTTAAATATGGCTAGTTATTTTTGCACGCAAACAGCAGCTGCCTCTGGGGCTGATAATTAAACCTTTCCTCCTTTGCTGCGGTTCTGAGGAAAATTCTTTGCCTGAATGTGTTATTTCAGAGGTGGGAAGCCTTTTTTAAAAAAGCAATCTTCCAGGGGGCACTTACCAGTGTTGGGCAGGCAAAAGTGGGTAGATAAATTAATGTAAATTGCACCTTTATATAGTACACTATTTTCTACAGACACTCTTCGCAATCAAGAGTCACTATCAGAGGTCAATAACACTTTACAGCCAAGTGAAAACATTCAAGGGGAGTGGGAAGGAAGGCCAGTGCGGGGACTGGCCTGGGAAGAGACAGTGTGTTTGGGAGAGGTTATGCTCTGGGGAGAGTCCCAAGGATTAGACAGAGAGGCTTGGCAAGCCACATTTGGCTGCTGGGTCCAAGGTTCCCTGTTGCTGCACTATTTGCGTTGAGAAGAAATCCCCAATTGATACTAGCAGGAGGCATTTCCTCCCAGTGCAAATATTAGCTTCAGAGGAGGGATTTTCCTCAGGATCACAACAGGGGAGGAAATGTTTACACTTGCCAACCATGACTTGTTGTGATTCTGATCATCGTATCCCTTCCCTTGCAGCTTTGATTTGCAGTTTTTAAAGTGTACATATTCAATGCAAGATTGCAATTAATGACATATCCAGCTTGGCCCCAAGAGAGTGTACCAAGAAGTCTCTGGTTGAAATCACTTAGCAGTTCTCTCAAGAGGCTTAAGCATGAGGCTTTGCTCTCAACATCAGACATCTGTAGAATGAGAGATTAAAATATTCACTTATCCTACAGGGCTGTTACAAAGATAACTGGTGACAAACTGGATTTTAGTCCATGGAAGCTGATACCATAATAATGTGATAGTCCATAAAAGGCCACAGAACTCTTTCCTGTTCTTGGTGCAGCAGAGACAGCTACTTCTCTGGAAACAATATGAGACAATATGAAGTGCTAAATGCTTTGAATGCTTTAAATATGCTATGTAAATGCTAACGTAGGATTATTACTAGTCTTGGGGCTGCTTCAGTCCTGATGATTAAAACATCCACAAATGAGGATCAGCATTTTTAGTGGAACTTGAACATCCCCATACTTTTTACAGGTTGGTTCTGCACATGAGAAGGAAATTATAGGGTCCTAGCCTGTACAATACCTTTGATAGCTAGAGTCTTGATTTTCCAGAGAGGGTCAGTCTGCATTATCTTAAAAAGGCACCTGAGCACCTAAGAACAGCAACAAGAAAAAAGGTATTAGTTGACAGAACCTAGTTTGCATATTGTTTTAAACGGGATGGTTCACACCAAATAAATTACAAGACTGCCCCAATAGGGAATTCCAGACTGTAATATAAAGGCAGCAGGTAGGCACGATGTGGAACCCACCAAGCCAAACATCGCCCATCAGTTGTGTATTGTGACATTTTTGCAGGGCAGACAGGTAGCTCATTCAATTCCATTGTCTTGAAAAAGCCATCTTTTCATTATGTGCAGTATTTTCTTTTCCTGTCCAAGCCTCATAATAATGGAGAGAAACACAATAGCACATTTCTGCTTTCATTCACCCCATCAGAAGGTGAAGTTTTAAATATTAATAGGGAATATTTATAGGGAAATTTTGAATATTTAATGTTTTATTGTGTTTTTTTATCTTCTGGAGGCCACGGCAACCCAGTCGGATGGGCAATGTACAAATTATAATCATTATTATTCATCATCACATTCCTTTAACTTTCAATGGTGCTTAGAAGGTCTTGGCAAACTGTGTCTATAATATTTTTTTAAAAATAAAGTATGGGAATGAATAAATAATAAACACAGCTTATATTATTTTATTATTTTTAAGCACAGAAAATACAGTCTATGGTGGGGTGGACTTTCAGAGACAGCTAACAGAAAGTCCACAAACCAGATCAAAGCCCCCAAGCAACTGGATTCATTGGCTCTACCAAAAAATACTTTGGAGATGTAGCAGAAATGTTTCCCTGGGGTGAAACGGGATTGAGCTGGGATACGGAGCCTGTGGCCCTCCAGATGCTCTTGGAGTACAACTTCCATCACCTCTGATCATTAGCCATGCTGATTGGGACCGACAGGAGTTGGAGTCTAACAACATCTGGAGGGCCACAGGTTCTCTGTCTCTGGACAAGGGACTTTAATATAGATCTTGGCCCTAGGACCCCTGACCGGTCCAGTTGTGGCTGACTCTGGGGTTGCTGCGCTCATCTTGCTTTATTGGCTGAGGGAGCCGGCGTACAGCTTCCGGGTCATGTGGCCAGCATGACTAAGCCGCTTCTGGCGAACCAGAGCAGCGCACAGAAATGCCGTTTACCTTCCCGCCGGAGCGGTACCTATTTATCTACTTGCACTTTGACGTGCTGTCGAACTGCTAGGTTGGCAGGAGCAGGGACTGAGCAACGGGAGCTCACCCCGTCACGGGGATTCAAACCGCCGACCTTCTGATTGGCAAGTCCTAGGCTCTGTGGTTTAACCCACAGCGCCACCTGCGTCCCTGATCCAGCTCAAATTGCATTTAATGAAGTCTACATCAAAAGGAATAAGAACAGTCCGGTTGAATCAAACCAAAGGCCCATCTAGTCCAGGTTCCTGTACTCACAGTGGTCAACCAGATGCCTATGAGAATCTTGCAAGCATTACCTGAATACAACAGCACTCTCCCCGCTTGCAATTCCCTGCAACTGGTATACAGAGGCACACTGCCTCTGACACATGTATGATGGCTAGCAGCCACTGATAGCCTTATTCTCCATGAATTTCCCTAATCCTCTTGGAAAAGCATCCAAGTTGTCACCACCATCTTATGGGGGTGATTTCATAGTTTAACTATGTGTTGCGTGAAGAAGGATCTTGTCTGTCCTGAATCTCCCATTAACTCAGATTCTTTGGAGGGACCCAGGTTCTAGTATTATAGCAGAGGGAGAATAATTTCTCTTTGCCCATTTTCTCCACATCATGCATCCAGGCAGAACCCAGCCTGAAAAAGCATCACAATGTAGATGTAGCGTTATACATCCAGATGCGTGCCTGCATTTATACCACATCTACTATGCATATAGAAGGTTAAAGGTAAAGGTACCCCTGCCCGTACGGGCCAGTCTTGACAGACTCTAGGGTTGTGCGCCCATCTCACTCAAGAGGCCAGGGGCCAGCGCTGTCTGGAGACACTTCCGGGTCACGTGGCCAGCATGACATTGCTGCTCTGGCGAGCCAGAGCCGCACACAGAACGCCGTTTACCTTCCCGCTAGTAAGCGGTCCCTATTTATCTACTTGCACCCGGGAGTGCTTTCGAACTGCTAGGTTGGCAGGCGCTGGGACCGAACGGGAGCGCACCCCGCCACGGGGATTCGAACCGTCGACCTTTCGATCGGCAAGCCCTAGGCACTGAGGCTTTTACCCACAGCGCCACCCGCGTCCCATATAGAAGGTTGGTTCTCCCCAAATAATCAGTGAGGAAGGTGTATTGTTCCAGCCCTGGACTAGTGTCTGAAGAATAAGTCTCTAAAGAAGCCACCCAGGCTGCATTCAAGAAAGGAGTTTATATTTATCTCCACATAGAGTGGTACCTTGGGTTAAGTACTTAATTCGTTCTGTAGGTCTGTACTTAACCTGAAACTGTTCTTAACCTGTAGACCACTTTAGCTAATGGGGCCTCCTGCTGCCACTGCGCCGCCAGAGCACGATTTCTGTTCTCATCCTGAAGCAAAGTTCTTAACCAGAAGCACTATTTCTGGGTTAGCGGAGTCTGTAACCTGAAGCGTATGTAACCTGAAGCGTATGTAACCCGAGGTACCACTGTATAGGGCTTTTGCCAGTCATTTTGCTGGGACTGGCGCAAGAACATTTGGCACCTGAGGCAAACCACAAAATAGTATCTCCCCAGGGAAGAAGGGGTGGGTGAAGATCTACACCAGGAATCAGCGGGAAATAAATGACCACTTTGGGAACAAAGGATGGGAGAAGACCAGCAGTGCCTCCTATTCACCAAGAGGCTGATGCAAAGGAGGCATGGAGGGGGTGCTGCCAAGGAGGCAGCAGATCTGGCCGTCAAGGAACAGCCACTGCAGCAGCATCAGAAGGCGATGCATTGTTTGGAGGCTGAATCTGCTGTCCCTGCAGATCCCGCCACCTGAGGCAGTCACCTCACCTTGCCTCGTGGGTGCACTGGCCCTACATTTTGAACACTCACCATCTCTTCTTTAATCTGAAGTTCTCCAGCTGCCCAGCAGGCTTCTTTTCGAACTGCTACAAAGTCGTCAGTGAAACACTTTAGGAAGCCAGGGAGCAGCCTGGCCGTCATGAGTTTCAGCCACCCAATCAATGAAAGAGCTTCCACCCTCATCCGGACATCTCCTCTTTTTAGCTTCTCCCTGAGGGCACAAGTGTGTTCTTAATGAACAAGGGTTGAACTCAGTTATTAAGTCCTGGGCATAAAGACTTCATTTGACGTGAAGGGCCATTAATTATAACAAGTGTTAATAGAATCAGCAACAGCATAAACCCCCATGTTCATGAGCTAGATGTGTTTAGCACATGCATAGGCAAACTTGGCCCTTCAGATGTTTTTGGGCCTACAACTCCCACGATCCCTAGCTAACAGGACCAGTGGTCGGGGATGATGGGAATTGTAGTTCCAAAACATCTGGAGGGCCGAGTTTGCCTATGCCTAGTTTAGCATAAAGAACTGCAAGGGTAATCACTGTGGTGCTCTCCAGATGTTGTTGGGCCCATCAGGACCAGACAGCATGGCCAATGGTTAGGGATGATGGGAGCTGTATCCCACCAACACCTGGAGGGCACCACTGTCACTTCCACGCTGGAGAAATCCTCTTCAGAGGAGGACCTGGAGCTCCCCAAGGCAAATGGAGCAGCAGGTTGTGTCAATTAACAGTCAGACAGAGCCAAACCTTTCATTGGTCACATTGGCCCTCCAACCTCCTCCTCAGGACACAGGAGGCCCCTGCACAGAATCAGAGGCAGAGGCTGATCAGCCGCTGAGTCTGGGGGAGTGCAGGTGCCCACAGGTGCAGGCTCAGTCAGACTGCTGCCCTCCTCAAGAGAAAATGGCTACTTGTGAGTAAGATGCTCCTCATTAACAGATGAACTCTTTAGGCAGCCTTGATGGCCTGCAGCTGCGCTCTGGGTTCCAAAGTAAACGCACCAGTGTAATTGCACCAGTTGCCTGATTTGAGTCCAGGCCCCAGTGTCTTGACCTTGGACTGATTCTGGATGTTGCCTCTCAAGTTGCCCCTGTGCATTGCCTTCAGACAATCAGACCAGCTCACATTATGGAGCAGAAGATCAATCAAGCTTTAGTTTTGTGCATTTAAAAGCATAACAACAATTGTTATTAACTTTATCCTATTTTGTTATCAACTTTATCCTATTTTTCCTATCCTATACTTAAGAGCATACTAAGGGTGCAAATCCTGTAAATGACTTAGGCCAGCTAAGTGGCCTTAGGAAGCAGTATATATGATGCTCTGCTGGCAGAGATGGAGCTATGTCAGCAGAATTATACTTACCCTGAAGGAACTACCTCCAGTACGTTGGCTGAAAGCTCTTGCCAGGATATCTGTAGCACTGGGCACAAATGTGACTGTATAGGATTGCTCTGCCCATCAGTGAAGATGATGTTTCTAACATGCATATGGATCTCTATGCGTCTCATTTCAAATGCCATCAGACGTTATTGAGGTCCTCTGTTTCCAATGCACTGTCTATCTGCATTTCAGAATCTTGCAGAGGAAATGTTTTGCTAGTGATTGAGATGTCTTACCATGTTGCACGGCTCTCACCTGAGTTGATCATGGACTTCTTTCCCAAGCTCCAAATGCCCCAAAGCCTTGGCAGCTGCTTGGCGTACATCAAACTTCCAATCTGTCCACATGAGCTGGACAATTTTGTTTTTTAGGTCCTACATAGAAGAACTAAGAGTAACTTTAGGCAACAGATAAATTGACGCTGAAGAAGACAAAGATGAAGATGATCATTAAAAAGCATTTATATACCGCTTAATATTTTTTTTAAAAGGTAAGCAGTGTACAACATAAAGACAACAAGCAATGTCATTGAAACAGAATGCAACATAAAACCAGTAAAACAGTAGTATAAGAGTGTCCAGGCACTGGTTTGAAACAGCCACACCCTCTCCTGATTCAGATGTAACAGAAACAGAGCCCCAAATCTCCCCATAACACAACTGGCAGGAGGCCGGTCCATAGTTTCCCAATGCTGCTCTCTGAAAGCAGCCCTGTAGGAGAAGAACTGCTGCAACACAACCTTGCTTCACAAGGCATCATTTTAAAAGAGTACAACTGTTTCTGATGTCTGCATCTCTGCAGGGAGCGATGCCTGGACACCTGGAAAAGTCTAGGAATCAAGGAAGCTGGCCCCCTTCATCGCTGGGTAGCCCTTTGGGAAGGAATGGATATTTTTTGGCAAGCCTAGGATTTCTGCCAGCAGTAGAAACCTTAACCTGTGCATCCCAAACCCAGTGCTCATATACAGAGCTGTGGTCCTACATAATGCAGGCTTAGATTCCAAGGTAAGTTAATTTAAGAAGCTCATAAAAGGAAAGCTTCCCATTCCCTCTGTCTCTCTGAAGACACCGGAACCCTCCAAAAAGCCAGTGGCCTCCTAAGCAATGTGGGTTGGGATGCAGTGGACTGCTGGTGGACAAGGGGATCTTCCAAAATCAGACTTGGATAACTTAATATAACTTAATAAAATCCACAGAAGGAAAGTTTTGTGATTCCCTCCCTTCTCCTTTTATCCCCAGGATACACCTGAGCCCAAGCCTCTGCTATTTGGGAGGGCCTCCTGAGTCTCAGGTGAGGCTTTTCAGGGAACACACAGGGCTGGGTAGCGAGGAGGCAACAGGAAACTTTCCTTCCATGAGCTTCCTTCAGCTAATTTAGTTTAGGATTCAAACCAAAGAATTTTCTGTCTATATATTCACATCTCCATCTTTACACATTGTTTCACTACCAGTGCCATTTAGGAGCAATTTTAAATGAATCAGATTTAATTTTTTTATGCTTAACGGTGGCATCAGCACTGCAACAATTCCCCCTCCCTTAATTACTATGTGTATGTTGGTGCATGTCATAAATGAAGAGATGAGTGAAACATGTTTTTCCCTCACTCTGAACTGCCAAACAATGGAATCTCTAGTAAGCTTGAATCACGTCAGAAGGAATATTTGAATCTGCTAGTGCTTCGGTCATGAAAATGGCTCTACCAATATTCTCTTATGGATGTTATAGTATGTTAGGTTCGTGAGGCATAACTTACTTGGCTGACGCTCCCAGGAATACGTGAAAATGTTTTACAGGCCAAAACCCGGTGCTTCCATTGGTAGCTGTTCAATTCGGATGCCAGTAAGCAATGAACCAAGCCCTGGAAGATTAAGCCAATCAGTGGAAAGCCAGAAAGCACTGGAGTATAGAAGAGGGACAGAGAGGCTTGCCAATATTTTAAGGAGAGGAGTTAGGACCACCGATGACCATTTCTGGAGCTGACTGCGAGATAACAATGTGTGATAACTTCAAAGCATGCTGTTTGCTTTGAGGAACTGGTACTAATTGACCTGATTGACTCTGCAGCTGAAACTCTTAGTGCGGCTTGTTATGAAACAAATACTAAACCATAGTAACAAATACTAAGCTGTAGCAACAAAGCAGTTAACAATTTCAGCATTGTAAAACACATACATGCTTAAGGCCTGGGCAAATAGGTTTTCACCTGGCACTGAGTATAAAACAAATATGGCACCAGCAAACCTCTCTGGAGAAGGAGGCCACAACTGAAAGCCACTGTCTCTGATCATCATCTACCTTTCTTCAGATGATGTGGGGAACTCAGAGCAAGGCCTCGGAGGTTGATCTTAATATCCAGATAATTACAAATACACCACCAGTTCCTGTGCTTTCTTTCATTACAAGGAAAGAGACTGCTGCTGTAACTTCACCACTCAGGGAAAAGGGGTGAGCTATCCTTGCTTGTGATAGTATATAACAAACAGATGTCCTGCTGGAACCTTTTTTAAAAATATAGATATATACTAATGTTAAATTAGGAATTTCCCATTCACATTTTAACCTCTCACACACACCTTTTAAAAAGAAAACACAATGTGAAGCCATTGTCCATGGCATTGTGATAATCTGGACTGGAATACTGAAAATAACCAGAGTCATCTGACTAATCAACTTGGAATCCAGGGAGAAATAATGCCACTGTTCACAAGATTATCATTAATCCCCATGGAAAAATCTGTTGAGTACAGCAACTGGCCTGGCCACTTATTCACAGACAGAAAGCAAAATAATTTTTGATGTGAATGTTCCCTGTGGGATTCTGTGCAAGGAAGCTGAACCTGCCCCTTGGGCCCAAGCCCACCAAAGCAGAACGACAAGTCTCACGCTTGTCTTTTCTGCAACATGCATGCCTTGTGCTACAAAGAGTGTCCAGTGTCTGTATTCAACAGTGGTGGGCAAGGCTGAGTCAAATAAATATCAGCAGGCCACAATGGTTGTGTGTTTCCAGCTTGTTCTTTCACCTGAGCCTTGGTACTTACTGTTTGTCGGCTGAGTCGAGATAATAAAAGACAAGCCTGGTCTTCTGTGGCATCATCCTGTTGCTCAAAAATTTGAGTCAGGATCCTTTTCACTACATGGAAACTTATATTGCCTTCCATTGCCAGGGCTTGAGCTGCAGTCCAACTGTCTGTACTATTACCTAATAGCAAAAGAAGAGGAGTTTGGATTTGATATCCCGTTTTATCACTACCCGAAGGAGTCTCAAAGTGGCTAACATTCTCCTTTCCCTTCCTCCCCCACAACAAACACTCCGTGAAGTGAGTGAGGCTGAGAGACTTCAGAGAAGTGTGACTAGCCCAAGGTCACCCAGCAGCTGCATGTGGTGGAGCGGGGAGGCGAACCCAGTTCACCAGATTACGAGTCTACCGCTCTTAACCAATAATTACTAGTATATAATATGACGCTCTATAAAAAAGAATCTCATTTCAGCTTGGTCTAATGCAGTAGCAGGAAGCCTGGAACATTCCAGATCTCACTGAACTACAGCTCCCATCATCCCTAGGGGCTGGTCATGCTGACTAGAGCCAGTGGGAGTTGGACTCCAATAAGATCTGAAGGGTCACAGGTTAACCATCCCAGATCAGATGCAAGAACACATAAAACTTTTAGTTTAACACACACACCACTTTTAATTATTAGAGTGTTTGCAGTCTAAGAAAGTGATTGGTAAGCACAGCAGGATTGTTGAAAAAGCTACACTGAGGCAGCATGAAGATGACATTTTGTCGCATATCCTCTTTTGATCTTAAAACATCTAGCTAACTATGATTAAGAAATACTGTTGTTCTCAGTGGGTCAGGGAAAGCAGCAGGGCTTAATGTAGTGCCATAGCAACCGCAGCATCCGTAGCCCAGCAACTCTGGGATAGCTCAGTTGGTAGAGCGTGAGACTCTTCATCTCAGGGTTGTGGGTTCGAGCCCCATGTTGAGCAAAATCTTCCTGCACTGCAGAGGGGAGTGGACTAGGTGATTCTCGTGGTCCCTTGCAATTCTACGATTCTATGATTCTAACTTATGCCAGCCAGGATGGAAAGTAGTGGGGGAGGGGTGAATGCCCCTTTTACTGCTACAGTTCCCAGGGTGGCACAGCAAAGAAGACTGGATTGGGCCCACTGCCATCACATATGGCAGCAAGGCCAGCTCACTGAGCACTGGATCCTTTGCTAGTCCAGCTCCACACCTATTCCCACCTTTGCAAAGGCCATTTTAGGAGAAGGGGCATTCTGCCAGGAACCACTGTGGGGCTGGTGTACCGAGCCTGATTATCGTCTTCCAAAGCAACTACTGTATTCCAAACTTAAAAATGGTAAGCATAATGCTGGTGGCCAACAAAAGAGGTTCAAAGACTCCCTCAAAGCAAATCTTTTAAAAAATGAAGTATAAACACCAACAACTGGGAAACACTGGCCTGTGAGCGCTCTAATTGAAGAACAGCCTTTACCAAAGATGTCATGGGTTTTGAAGACGCTTGAACTCAGGATGAAAGGTAGAAATGCACTAAGAGGAAGGCACATTTGGCAAATCCACACCGTGACCAACTCCCACGCAGAAACTAGTGTCCCCACTGTGGAAGGACATGTGGGTCCAGAATTGGCCTCCACAGTGACTTACGGACTCACTTTTAAAACCGTGTATATGGAAGACAATCTTATTCGGCTACGAGTGATCACCAAAGAAGAAGGTGTACTGAGACACTCCACAGTGGTGGAGGTCATCAAAGGCCAGCAGAGCCAGTCTGGGATGTGCAGAGGGACACTTCTGCCTCAACCAAACCCCTTCTAGCCTGGCAGATCAGGGCTTTGGATTGCAGCTTTAGCTGTGACTGACAGTGCAATCTTATATGTGTTTACTCAGAAGTAAGCCCCATTGAGTCCCCAGGCAATTGCATGTAGATTTACAGTCTAACTATAGGTGGATTCGGGCCCTAGTCTGGCTTCTTTTTGAATATTCTTTGTCAGAGAAAATGTTTTCATGGCTTTGGAGATGCTTGATATCCACAAAACAGTTCCTATATGGAAGGAAGAGGAAAGTTATTTTGCTAACCATTTATCAGAGCATCCGTCATGATGGACCGTGCCACTCGATTCCACTCCCCCATGGCGTAGAAGCCCACCGCAGCAGCCATTCTCACATGAGCATCCTTATCAAACAATGTATTTCTAAGCAAAGGCTGTATTTTCTTTGGTATATCTTCAACTTCTAAATTCTTACCACCAGTTTCTATCCCTATTACTGAAAGAAAGAGCAGAACATTCGCATATGAACATTTTTGTCTTCCTATGCAGAAACTATGCCAGCTTTTAAAAATAAGATTTTTCTTTTATTGATGGTCATTAAGCACTCATTTTATAAATATGCTCACTATGAAAACAGTACAGTGGTACCTCAGGTTACAGACGCTTCAGGTTGCAGACTCCGCTAACCCAGAAATAGTACCTCGGCCAACATAGTTCTGTAACCTGAAGCATATGTAATCCGAGGTACCACTGTACTAAAAATCCAGGAATCTAAATGGCTAGATTGTTATACTTTGTCTGATACCCTTCCTGGTAGAGATGGATCATAAAATCATGCTGATAGCAGTTAACCAGAAATAGCTGGAACTTTTGCCCTTTGGACCTTCTGTCTTTCACATTGTTCGTTCATTCTTTGACTAATCCTTAGCTTCCAAAGTTCGCACAAGTGGAGTGGGTGGAGTGGGGGAAGAGGAAAAAGGAATGGTGACATTCAAAACAGTGCAATATGTTGGCTCAGAATTGGAAAACAGATGTAATACCTACTATTATGGAATGGCAGGTTAAAATGATGAATTACGCAGAATTGGCCAGATTATCAGGGAAAATACGAGACCAGGATGAACAGAAGTTTTATGAAAGTTGGAGTAAATATTTGGTGTATATAAGAGACAATTGTAAAACCTTAAAGACACCAGCAGGGTTAGACCAACTCTAACAGCATATGGTCAACCAGATAAACAAACAGAATACACGATGTAAGAAAATGTACGATACTTACCGAAGGGGTGGAGGGAAGTCTGAAGCTCAGCAGAGCCAAAGATATATGTGAGATTTATTTGTATAATGAATGTATGTTTAATGAAAATCAATAAAAAATTATTGTTAAAAAAACAAAAACAAACAGAAATAGTACCTCAGGTTAAGAACTTTGCTGCAGGATGAGAACAGAAATCGTGCGGTGGCGCGGTGGTGGCAGGAGGCCCCATTAGCTAAAGTGGTACCTCAGGTTAAGAACAGTTTTATGTTAAGAATGGACCTCCAGAACGAATTAAGTTCTTAACCCGAGGTACCACTGCATGGCACTCTCAAGACCCTGTCCTCTGATGATTTCAGAAAGGTTCTCAAGTGTTCATTCCAAAAAAAGCCTTCCCATTCTGACAGAAGAAGGCATAACTGCTGAGGAACATGGGGAAAAACAAATTCTATGATTTGGCCAAGAACCCAAAGTAAAAGACAGTGCTTTTCACCCTACAACGTTGGCACCTAGTCATTCAGACAATATGGTCCAAATATTTGGAGCAGGGTGATTACTTGGTTTCAACTGTACGATCCTAATAGTGCAATCATATACATCTTTACTGGAAAGTAAGTCTCACTGTGTTAAATTAAGCATTCTCCTTAATTTGGGTAGGATGACACCCTAGCTGTTTTGTCTATAAACCAGAGGTACTTGGATCCATGATAGTCTGTATTCCAGTCCTAAACAGTTGTGCCACCTTACCAGCTTGCTATACCAGAAAAACCACAACAAAAGTTACAACAGTTTCCAATAGAAGCTGCTTATACCTGACTCATCACTTGCATCGTGGACTTCGTGGGGCCGCTCAAGCACAGCAGTTGCACAGGTAAGTATAGCATTGACACGATTTTGAATGTGCACATCTGCCAAGTCTCTGATTAATCCTTCTATAGTTGCTGAATGCCATCGTGGACCTGAGCATTGGGAAGAAAAATGTCACACGGCGGCTGTGGCGCAGGAGAAAAAGAAACGGCCTCCCCCAGGGAGAGCTGAGGACATTCGACAGATCATAATTGGGGGAATATGTCACATTAAAAAAACTGCATTTGCTTGCATGGAGTTTTCTTTTTAATATATGGTGTAATGTGAAAGTGAGGGTGAATCTTTGATTTTGGCTGGCTTCCCTAGGGCCCGGGGGAGCAAACCTGGATCTTAGAGGAGCTAAACTAAACAATCACCAAACAATTATTGAAATATACCCCACGGCATTGCTTTTTGATGGAAGATTCACATTTGGAATACTAACTTGGAACACTAATTTGGAACACCATGGGAGACTCATATTTGGAATACTAACTCATGAAAATCTCAAAGATTGCTGCGCCATAAATCCTATCAAAAGAAGGAGAGTTGGCATGTGCTGAGAGAGTTGGGAGAGAGCCCAGAGCCTGAAAGATAAAATAGTGACATGAAAGATGGGGCCACTGAGAGGACTATGCTGAAAATCAATTGAAGGAAAACAACACAGAATAAACTGCCTCCTGCATGTTAATAGAAATATAGATTTGTTGGACATGATAGAGAGTCATGCACCAGGACTGTGAAGATAAAACAATGGGTTAAGATAGGACTTATTAAACTGGGGGGAAACAAGAGAGATGAATGCAGGAATAACTGAAAGAGATTTTCTCCAGACATCCAGAACATGGGAAGTCCCCTTGAAATTTTTAAATTTGGAATGTATAACTGGCTTTAATGTATTATGATGTAGCAAGATTTGATCTGATTTGTTACCAATTAGAATATTATTAATTGAAAATTAATAAAAAATATTTGCAAAAAAGAGGGAAGAAATTTCACAATAAAACCCATAGGTGTGAATATCCATTGCAAATATGTGAGTTTGCAAGCTTTTATCAGCTGATCTAACGAAACAAGTTAGTTATGTCATCTAACCACTATTGGCCATAGCAATGATAATCAATAGGAAAACAGTCATCATTTTAATGGCCTATGGGCGATACAATGCTCACCATATTTCCAAGCAGCCTTCCACTGTTCCAGCATAGTCTTACGGATACAGATTTCCTCAGACACATCCAGATCAGTCTTTCCGTACAAATATCTTCTCTCTCTCTTAGTTGGTTCAAGGGATTCGGTTTCGCTCCCTTTGGTGAAGTGTTCAATGACAGAGGGAAGCGCTGCCCAATGGATGGCTCCCTTCTGCACCCTATGAACTGAACCAGCAGCGTTTCAGTGGAAATTGCTTAGTAGCAATCCATACTAACCCTTGCCAGCAATGACATGAATGGACACAGAAAGAAAAACTGGAACAGGGTTGAACACCGAGACTATTTCAACCTTGAAAATACTACCACCTCACATGTGGAGATTTGCAGCACTAGCTTATAAAATAATTGAGAAAGATGGCAGTGGTGTGGCTGATGGCCCAACAATAAATTAATTCAGGTAAGTCAAACCAGACCAATCAATTCAGGATTTTTATTAGTAGGAAAATTCATTCGCTTTGTGAAATCAATTAAGGTTTTTTTTTAAAAAAAACAGCCAGGCTCTCTTTCAATCCTATTTAGTCTAGAGAAAGTAAAGCAGAAGGAACTAGAGCTCCCCAAAAGTCCTGTTCCTGCAGAGGAGACAGGATCACAACCAGAGGCGGATTTAGGGAGGTGACCAGTTTGGTTGGACTGGGCAAGGAGCCTCAGGGGCACCACAGGAGGCTGTGGAAGGTGAAGGGTGGGGAATGCCGAATTTTGCCATCACGCAGGGCGCGTTGAAATTTGAGACCCCAAGGCCCACCTCTGCCATAACTGAGGGGAGCTTCCCATTGAAAGGTAGAAGAACGCAGTATAAAGATTAACATGGCCCTCCCTGTGTAGGGATGATCACGGGGTGGGGAGTGGGGTTCGGAGGGAGCACACTCCCCACTCGCAGGCAGCCAGTCTGCCTGCACGTGTGACCTTGGGGTGCGGGGCACACTCCCCCTCACAGACAAGCCAACAGCTGTCTGAACATCGTACCTCTGTCTAGCCTTCTGCGGTCTCAGTAGTCTGCAGTGCCCTGTCTGTAATCTTTGTCTCTGAGACCTTTTGTCTCCTTCATTATACACTGTGCAAGGGGAAAATGACACGCTGGAAACAGGTGCCAAAATAACTTTGTACCATCCCCACGATCTCGGGATCGGAAGATGTGTAAAGGTCACAGCCCAAAATGTATCTGCCTGGTTTGCATTTTTGTGTCAATAAAAGGAGGCTCTACAGAGCCGGCTGGCAGCTTGCTTGCAGCTCACCTGTGCACAGCTCACCTGCATTTTCAACTTCTGCCTCATGTCCATCACTTCATCCCTGTGTAGAGAGCAGGGGCAGTGATCCATCTCAGAATACACTGAATAGGCAGAGGTGTACCTCCAAAGTCAGGAGAGACCATAGACCAGAAACTCAAGAAGTTTGCTTTTCATTGCCTTTCACACACCGTTGGTGACTTCCTCTGTGGCCACCAGGGTCCACCTGCTCTGCTCCACATCCCCTCCTCTTCCCTCCATCTGTCTGTCTGCCTCCCCCCCCCCATGCTGCTTTCCTTCCTAGTTACCCTAAGACAGAGTGGAGAGCCACGGCAAGGAATCCTGCATTGCTGTAAGTCTCTTGACATGTCTCTTATCCTAAAGCCCTAGAAGTGATCACTCTGGTATTCTGTGCCTCTTTCTTTGGAATCCCTACAGCTGGATCCTTCGGTGCATCAGTCAATTCTTTGTCCCAGTCTGTACTTGGACCCATGGGATGGAACAAGTACCGGTATGTAATCGCCTCTTACCTGTCTTTTTGGGTGGCATGAAGCTCCAGACCTCTGGAGGTCTTGGGTAGCATTGCTGGAGCTGTTTATAATATTCATAATGATTATCCATAACAATAAGATCCTTCTTGGTCTTTTGATGGACAATTTTGGCTGACCCTAAATACACATAGAAGACAAAAGAAACCACAACTAGATAGGGATGATCCCGTTCCTGTTGCCCAGAACTTTATGGTGGCATATGAAAGGCAGTGTGGTGTAGGGGTTACAGTAAGAATAGTCAATGTCATGCCCTCCAGATGTTGAGGACTGCAACTCCCATCATCCTTGACCACTGGCTATGCTGGCTGGACCTCATGGCAAAAGTTGTTGTTGTTTAGTTGTTTAGTCGTGTCCGACTCTTCGTGACCCCATGGACCAGAGCACGCCAGGCACTCCTGTCTTCCACTGCCTCCCACAGTTTGGTCAGACTCATGTTTGTAGCTTCGAGAACACCATCCAACCATCTCGTCCTCTGTCGTCCCCTTCTCCTTGTGCCCTCCATCTTTCCCTACATCAGGGTCTTTTCCAGGGAGTCTTCTCTTCTCATGAGATGGCCAAAGTATTGGAGCCTCAGCTTCAAGATCTGTCCTTCCAAGTGAGCACTCAGGGCTGATTTCCTTCAGAATGGATGCGTTTGATCTTCTTGCAGTCCATGGGACTCTCAAGAGTCTCCTCCAGCACCATAATTCAAAGGCATCAATTCTTTGGCGATCAGCCTTCTTTATGGTCCAGCTCTCACTTCCATACATCACTACTGGGAAAACCATGGCTTTAACTATATGGACCTTTGTTGGCAAGGCGATGGGAAAAGTAGTCCACAACATTTGGAGTGCATCACATTGTACCTCTAGAATAGACTTGGGGGAGTCCTGGGGAGTTCAAATCACAGCACAGACACAAAGCTTACTGGGAGGCCATAGTCTGATCATTATAATTCAGCCTTCCCAAGGTTGCTGAGGTCTTTAAAGGTAGATGAGAATAAAACTGAAATAACGCACAAAACAGGTAAAGGAACCCCTGACCATTAGGTCCAGTCGTGACCGACTCTGGGGTTGCGGCACTCATGTCCCTTTATTGGCTGAGGGAGCCGGCGTACAGCTTCCGGGTCATGTGGCCAGCATGACCAAGCTGCTTCTGGCGAACCAGAGCAGTGCACGGAAACGCTGTTTACCTTCCCGCCGGAGTGGTACCTATTTATCTACTTGCACTTTGAAGTGCTTTTGAACTGCTAGGTTGGCAGGATCAGGGACCGAGCAACGGGAGCTCACCCTGTCGCGGGGATTCAAACTGACCTTCTGATCGGCATGTCCTAGGCTCTGTGGTTTAACCCTCAGCGCCACCCGCGTCCCTTCTCTTTTTAAAGGACCCCTGACCATTAGAACGCACAAAATAAGTGCATACAAATAGTTCTCTCCTAATTTTCCTGGACTCAGCTACGTATAATATTTTAAAATGTGACAGGGAGCAACTTAGGATGGGATGGCAGAAAAATGACAGGATATGCACAGGCTACCAAGCATCACCAGAAATGTATTGAGCTGTGATTGTATGAATCCCACAGTTGATCCAATGCAGTTGATCTTTGTGCAAGTAATCTTGGATCCAAATAATGCTTGGGTCGTTCATATCTATACAATGCTAAGCAAAAGGAATTAGAGTTCTACCTACCAAAATAGAGCTCTTGTTCAAACACATTCTGGGTAGTGTATGAGTACTTTCCAACCCGGGCGCTCAGCCGTTCTCGAAGTTTAGTACGTGCCAGATGTCTGAGATCCTTCTTTGATATTTCATCCGCAGTTTTGTTTATATCAACTGAATCTTCCACACCACGCCCTCTCATGTGGAAAGATGGCCCCCTGCGAAATGAGAAGCATACTTCCAGCTGAGAGCACTGTACAATTTGCAATTCGCTCAGAACAAGAACGCAGGTCATCACACACATATGGAAGCCTACCAGGTAGGGTTGTCAATTCTTGAAGTAAAGAATTTGGGTACCTGGGAAGGGCCCTTGGGCAAAGCCCAGAGGGGGACCACGCTCCCATAAAGGCTAGCAGTCTCAAGCAGTGCTTTTTTTCTGGGGGGACGCAGGGGTAAGCATACCCCTCAACATTTTGTGAATCTAAGTTTGGCCTCACTGAGGGGCAGTATTTCAATACGAGTAGGAAAATGAGAGTACCCCTAAACATTTTTTTTTAGAAAAAAAGCACTGGTCTCAGGCAAGTTTGGGGACAGAATTCAGTGTGACCTGACAGAAAACAGAGTTCTGCCCCCCAAGTGCCAAGTATATGTAAAAGTTGCAAAGAATCCATCTTAAAAAGCGGGGGGGGGGGGATTTAGAGTGATGGTGGAGAAACAGCCTAACCTCTTGTTTTTTTGGCACTTGCCCTAAAAACCAAACAATTATTTTTCTGTTTGGTTGCTTGGTCGGAATCCCTGAAGCCCCAGCCTCAGTGAATCACATGCCTTTGCTGTCTGTCAGGGTCTGCGGAAACACCACTCAATACAGGCACATTTGGCTTGGGGACCCATAAGTTGTATAGACCCAATATATACAAAAATAACTGCTGTTGCCAAGTTGCTTAAAGCATTTTACGTACATGATCTCAGCAACCTCAGCTTACACCAGCAGCATTGTTGATAATAATACTACATTTCTTATTTTTTTCCCCAGGGAGGGTTACAGAATAGCAAATGTAGTAAATGCTTCATTTAGAAATTACTGCCCCTTTTATCTGACACTCTTCCTCCTTCAGAGTATAATTCCCGTAAGATCTTTGCAAATAGGACAGAGTTTACTGAATTGTGACCTACTTTACTCTATCTTTGATTATTAAAAGGAGAACCTGAGGCTAGCAGGTGAACACATTCTTAATCCAACAGGCTTGTGGGAACTGGTTGTTTTAATGAAAGGGCTGGTGCTGTTCTGTATTTATTGATAGTTTTAATTCTATTAATGTTTAATTGTTTCTATGTTTTTGGCTGGTCTTATTTTATCGGTAAGCTGCCTTGAGTCCCGTCAGGGAAAAAGGTGGGGTACGAATATATACAATAGTTTTCTAGTTTTATCCTGGCCCTTTATTTGTTTCTTTTCTATTCCAGGTCATCCTTTTAATGCAGGGGTTCCCCAGCCTTTTTGGAATTCTGAGAAAGTGTTGTGGTACCACAAAACACCAATTTCACAGAAGAAAAACTAGTAATGTTCAGTGCCTCCACCCAAAACAAGCAACACACTCCCCTCAACTAAAATACCCTCCCACAAAAAACACAGTAAAACAAGCAAGCAATGCCCACTCCCTGAAAAACAGGCACCTTCCCCAACCAAGAAGGCAACCATCAATTAAAAAATGCATAAAAACATTATGAGGCCTTGGTGGTCGCTAAGTAGGTTTCTGAGAGCACCATGGTGGTTTTGAACAAAACAGACTGTGCTCAAATAACTGATTCTGTGTTCCCTTTGAAAAAACTGATACAGGGTAATGAAGTCTCCTTCAAGCTCCAAAGATCTCAGAAAGCTGCTCCATAGTAACTCAGAGCAGGGCAACAAATATTTGCAATATCTAGTAGCAATTGAAGGCATTTTTGTTCTGACCAGCTTTCCCAGCTGAATGAGTAACTTTCTGCCATATGTGTCCATTTTGCGTTTTTAAAAACTCATCTATTAATTTTTAGGCTGTTTTGTAACTGTTTTTAATCATACATTGTTTATTTTTACTTAGCTACCATAATTACCCATAGAATGGCCTTCACGGGGGTGTCACAGAAACCCATATTTTGTCCCATCATCCTTCACATGAGCATTGGAAAGTGAGGGGAAAGAGCAGCTTTTATTGCAAAAATGTATAGGGCTAAGGGACGCGGGTGGTGCTGTGGGTTAAACCACAGAACCTAGGACTTGCCGATCAGAAGGTCCGCGGTTCGAATCCCCGCAAAGGGGTGAGCTCCCGTTGCTCAGTCCCAGCTCCTGCCAACCTAGCAGTTCGAAAGCACGTCAAAGTGCAAGTAGATAAATAGGTCTACCTCTGGCGGGAAGGTAAACGGCGTTTCCGTGTGCTGCTCTGGTTCGCCAGAAGCAGCTTAGTCATACTGGCCACATGACCCGGAAGCTGTACGCCGGCTCCCTCAGCCAATAAAGCGAGATGAGCGCTGCAACCCCAGAGTCGTCCGTGACGGGACCTAATGGTCAGGGGTCCCTTCACCCTTTACTTTTTATAGGGCTAAACCTAAGATCACAATCCCATGAGGCATGTTTCCAAATAATGAGATTAGCATCTAAATGTAACACAGCTTGATGCTCCAGTACAACAGGTATTTATTTGCCTTACCTGTAATAATAAGCAGAGAGAGGTGTCTCCGGTTTCTTCTCTTCATCTATTTGAATTTGAATCTGACCTTTCACTACTGTATCCTCAGCCTGGATCTGATCCAGTAATTCCACATCACTTTCATCAGGAAGCACGTACCTGATGCTTTCCCAGTTATATTTTTGCTTCTTGAAACCCGGTGGCTTACCCTGAACCCAGCCTCCCCAGGTGGGCTGATTATTCACAATGAATTGAGCTGTAGCCTTGTTTAACTTCACCAACATTGTTCCTTCCCACCTCAGGTCCCCATGATCTGGCTCATGGACTGTGGTGCCCTGGGGTCTTGCTTTTGACCTCTTGAATGTCAAGTCTGCTAACATCTCATGAGGTTCTGTCAGGAACGCCTGTGTGTATGGAGGTTCACAAGAAGGAGGAGGGGGAGGAGGTGGAATAGGTACCAGGAGACTTGGCTCTGAAAGTGTGCTTTCTACCTTGGCTTTCCAGATAAGCTCTTCCATGCAGACAGGAACATCAGCGGTGGTTTCCTTGGGAGGAGGCGGGTCTGGCTTCATTACCAGGGACTGTAATTTCTTCAAAGGTTTGAGCCTACTTGGTCGCCTTTGCTTCTTAATAACAATATTTTCACTTTCTTTTCTCTGAATGACACTGGAAAAATCATACAACCCCCTGGGGTCATAGTCCTTAAAGGACTGAAGCATTGCCCCTCTGTGGTAAACAGCTTCTTTAGAAAAATATAGGTTCTTGGCTGCATTCTGGAGGCATTGTTTCCGGTATTCTGCATAGTGCTCTTCAGCATGACAAACATCTCTCTGGTACATGAAAGGCATTTTTGCCCTCATTGCAGACAGCATTGCCTTGCGAGATGGCAAGCTGTGTCTGTCAACTCTGGCCTTCAGACTAGACTCAAGGGGGAAGGGATTTTTGCTCTTGAAAAAAGTTGGTATTTCCATCCTTTCAAGACTGGTGAGGCTCCTCACTAGTGGCTAACTTTTCATAAATCTTTAGAAGTTAGACTTAACGGCTGTGTAAAGAAACAGACATCCCGCTGTTTTCTGAGGGGACACTCAAGCTTTTCCTAAACCACAGAGAGAAAATAAATAACCCTATCAGATTGTAAAAGACCATCCTTTTAAGATTCAAGCCAGGCTTCCTCAACCTCAGCCCTCCAGATGTTTTTGGCCTACAACTCCCATGATCCCTAGCTAGCAGAACCAGTGGTCAGGGATGATGGGAACTGTAGTCTCAAAACATCTGGAGGGTTGAGGATGAGGAAGCCTGATTCAAGCAAACAAACAACACCACAATTCTTCCCCAAACAGGCTATCACTGCAGAATGCTGGTATCATTGAATCTCCAAGATGACCTATTTACCTTTGATGGTGGATGGAATGTGATGTGGAAGGAGGAGGAGATGCTATCATGCATGATTTATTTTATATCTTACCCTTCCTACCAAGGAAACCCAGGGCATCAAACAACAATAAAAAACCTATTTTAACACAATTCTAATACAGATGCAGACTGGGAAAGATCTCACCTGAATAGGCTTGTTCAAGGCGGACAAAATGAAGCCCATCGGCTGTTCTCTACTTCTGGCTCTTTATAAGCAGAAAGAGAGTAGTGGGAAATTATCATTCACCATGTTATCATATTGCTTCACCAGCCTAGCGTCAACTCTTTTGTCACCAAGGCATGCTCCAGAATGGGTTAAAACTCATGTCATGTCGGCACTTGGGATCCTAGGAGTACTGCTTCAATAGCCTATTACTCTACAGTACAACCCACAAATCACCCTGTCTGTGTTTAAACCATTGCTCTGAGCTACAGCAGCATTAGCTTAAAAAAAAAGTCCTAGTCCAAGTAAATGTCATTAGGATGCCGCTGTGAATCTCTGATATTAAACTAAGCATAACTTGCCCCGGCACACAAACAAAAATTATTTTTCTTTCTTCCCAGTGACTATTACACTTGTACAACATGCACTGTGCTGACAATAGTTATCCCTTTCTGCATCGAGGTAAGATTTCTATCCTATTATTGTACACTTGACATTGTCAGTTCTTGTCCACAAATATTGCTTTTCCTTCAGTTCCCTAATCCAATCCGAAGTGCTATTAACATTTCTTACTTGCAAATGTCATTGCTGTCAGCTTTGCACCCTGCAGGACTTGTTTCTGCCTGGAATACATGAGCTGGAATAATTTAAGGATCTATGGTTCAAAGAAAACTTACTCATGATGAGTTATTAGGAATTTTTAACGACATTAAATATTAATTTTATTGATTAAAATTATGCATTTATCCTAGTTTATAACCCTGTTCTTTCCTCTTTTAGTGCTCACTTCCTCTCATAACACTTATGCCACAATGAGGCTGCAATCTATACCTGAGAAGAAACCCCACTAGCCTTAATGGGGCTTACTTCTTAATCATACAGCCAGTCTGTAAATCTTTAAGGTGCCCCAAAATGTTTTTGCTGTCCTCTCTTAAAGTAACATACATGTTTCAGAACATACATTTACTTGAGTCTAATGTGCCATCGAATCTAATGCGCACCTCAATTTTCAAAACCTTGAAACCAAAAAATGTATTTGCTGGCCAGTGTAAATGTGCCATCGAATCTAATGCACACCCTTAATTTTCACAATGTAATTTGGCCAGAAAAGGTGAGTGTTAAACTTGAGAAAATACAGTAATATTTATACAATATGCTACGTTAATTCCTGCCACTGTATGGAAATGTTTTCAACAATCATTTTTTTAAATGTTGTGATTATAATCATTAGGAACTTAGGTCTCTACATTAAATTACTACAAGCCACTGTGGGCAGTCACCTTCTTTGTTCTCTGCAATCTTTTGTTAAGTTTAAGTTGGAAAATATACATTGCAATATTGTACAAGAATCTCTGTTTTTATGTGAACCACTCCCAACTTCAGCCAATTTCATATCCCTGCTTCTTTGGATTCCAGGGTATTTCTTTTTTCTTGTTCTTTATGAAGACTGAAAAGTTTGTACTAACCTTTCAGAATGGCTTTCACAGATCTGCTCTTGTAGGAGCAGGAGCACATCGCAAATACATGCACATTAGAAATCAGATTCTTGTCTCTTCAGACCTCCCTTCTACTTGTGTACAGTTGTTGCCAGGCTACAAATGATGTACTCACATTCTGTCAATTTTGATTTGTTGATTTTAAATAGAGCTGCCAAGCTAAGTCCCCTTTGGCTGTTTGGTATTTAACCTGCTGTTTCACAAGTTGTTGTTGGTTTTTTTAAACATGGAGGGAAACAAAGCTAGTGAAGTAACATTTATTGAACTACCTTAGAGTGCACAAGTTTTCAGCATTCAAGTTAGTCGAAGATCTCCAGAATGCTTCAGGTTGGGTGCATCAAACTGACATTTATTATACATTATATGAAATAAATACAGAAGGCAAACTTTTGCTCACTGGCATTTGTCCGGGCAATATGTCCGTCTGGCTGTTTACAACATGAATTTCCTGTAACATGAATGTTAACATTTGGAGCTCCCTACTCTTTATTTTATTTTTTTTATCACAAGTTGCTGCAGCACTCTGGTTGTGGGGAGCAAGGGGCCATTTTGCTTTTCCTCCGAAACCAGTATTTTCTTAATTTTCAACATATAACAAATATGGCAATCAACAGGAAAGCAAACGAGAGACAGAGAGAGAGATAAGTCTTACACCTGCACCTCAGGGATAAACAACTTTTTCTAAATTTTAGGAAATTCAGGATTCAGGATCAGGATCTAAATCTGGTAAACCCCACCAAGGGAGGCACGGGGTGCAAGTTCCCACCCCCACCCCCATCAAGTAAATAAATAAATAAATAGAAATACTTAACTAACTCGGTTATGGCCCCGCTGACATTGACCCTGCCTCACCCGCAATATAAATCCTGGCTACGCCCATGAACCCCACTGAATTAAATGAAGGAGTTAGAGGACTCGATGGATTCGGACTGCACGGTGACCATTTGGAAGAAGGGGGAAAGGCCTTGTGCGAAGGGCAGCCTCCTCCCTCCGCCCCAAACGAATTTCCTTTCCAAACAATTGTTGTGTAATTTGAAACTACGAGGGGTGGCGCCGCCGCTTGATTTGACTGGGGCTGACAGCTCGTTCCGCTGCCATGGCCTCATTTGGGCGCCTGCTCTGGGGACGCGGCCTGGGACTCCGCCTGCGTCCCAGACCCCGCTGCGCCTTTCGCCCCCCCGGCAGCTGCTGTCAGAGCGCCGCCTCCACTAGCGCTTCCCTCATGGACGCCCGCATCGACTTCTCCCCCGCCGGCCGGAGCCTCTTCGACGAGCCGCTGGGTATCTCGGTGTCGGGGCTGCGGCCCCAGCAAGAGGTCACGCTCCGGGCATCGTTGCAGGACGAGGTCGGGGAGCTTTTCGAGTCGCTCGCGCTCTACCGGGCGGACGGCAGCGGGCAGCTGGACCTGAGCCGCTCGCCGGCGCTGGAGGGCGGCAGCTTCTCTGGCCTGGAGCCCATGGGGCTGCTGTGGGCGCTGAAGCCGCGCAAGCCCTTCAGGCGGCTGGTGAAGCGCGACGTGCAGCGCCCCTTCAGCCTGGAGCTGGAGGTGCTCGAGGGACACGGAGAGGGCCTCGCGGGAGGCGTCCTCGCCAAGGGCTCCCACGAGAGGGGCTTCCTGCGCGCCGGCGTCCAGAGGATCCCCGTGCGGGACGGGCGGGTCCGCGCCACCCTCTTCCTGCCCCCGGGTGAGTGGCGGACTCTGGCCCCGCGCTTGGCCATCTTAAGGCCTTCTAGACGCTCCTGCGCTTCGTGTCGTTGACACCCACACACTTTTTGTGAGCCAACGCCAGCTGCGACTCCTCCACGTGTTGTTGCATTTCAAAGAACTCGTTAGTCCCAGGCAGAGGAGCTTAGTTTCAGAGAGATCATGGGAGAGGTTGTGGTGAACGACTTCTGGAAGGGCACACCCATCCCTGGCTTGGATTTCTCCATCCTGTAGTAAACTGGTTCCTCTTCTTCCTGCTCAGAAAGGGAGAAAGATATGGCACCCAGCAAGCAAACAAAAAACCCCACAATTAAGTAAGAGGAGGAAGAGCTGCAGAAGTAGTATAATTCGGTCTTTAACGTCCCTTGAAGGACAGCCAAATTTAAATAACAATCTAACACACAGCTGTGAGGCATTTGCGAGCTTTTTTGCAGAGAAGGTCCTGTTGCTCCGCCATGACCTCCCTGCCAATTTGGATACAATAAAGGAACTGGAGGCCCCTCGACTGTCCTCGGGTCCAGTATTGGACCACTTTGACCGGATATCTCCAGCCGATGTGGACAGATTCCTCCAAGCTGGAAAGCCCACCACCTGTCCTCTTGACCCGTGCCCGTCATGGCTGATTAGAGCGTGTCCAGACAAGGTGCGGGCCCCCTGGGGGATATCATCAATTTGTCCCTTGGCACCGGGATATTCCCAGGGGAACTGAAGGAGGCGGTAGTGCATCCGCTCTTAAAGAAAACATCATTAGATCCCTTAGATCTATCCAATTACCGCCCGGTCTCGAATCTTCCATTCCTGGGTAAGGTGATTGAGAGAGCGGTTGCTGAACAGCTTGGTAGGTTTCTGGATGAAACATCTGCTCTGGATCCATTCCAGTCCGGCTTCCGCGCTGGTCATGGGACCGAGACGGCTCTGGTCGCCCTAACAGATCATCTCCGCAGGCAGCTGGATCGAGGCGGGTCGGGGCTGCTGATTCTTCTAGATCTGTCAGCAGCCTTTGACATGGTCGATCACGAACTCCTGGACCACCGCCTTGCCGACGTGGGGATCCAGGGCACAGTCCTTCAATGGCTGCACTCGTTTCTTTCTGGTCGGGGACAGAGGGTGGCGCTTGGGGGGGAATTGTCATCGCGCCACTCCTTGGTGTGTGGAGTGCCTCAGGGCGCGATTCTCTCCCCGATGCTTTTTAACATCTTTATGCACCCCCTCGCCCAGCTTGTCCGGAGTTTTGGGCTGGGTTGCCATCAGTATGCCGATGACACCCAACTCCATCTGTTGATGGATGGCCATCCTGACTCGGCCCCAGACACACTGTCTGGAAGCTGTGGCTGGATGGTTACGTGGGAGCCGGTTGAAGTTAAATCCTTTGAAGACAGAGGTCCTCTGGCTGGGACGGGACGATATGGGATTGAGGGGGCAACTCCCATCTCTTGCGGGGGTGCAATTAGTGCCAGCACCATCCGTTAAGAGTTTGGGTGTAATCTTCGATACCTCCCTCTCTATGGAGGCGCAGATTACAGCTATAACAAAGGCGGCATTTTTTCATCTCCGCCAAGCTAAGCAGTTGGCCCCTTATCTCTCTCGCCCTGACCTAGCCACTGTGATCCATGCGACGGTCACCTCCAGACTGGATTATTGTAACTCGCTGTACGTGGGGCTGCCCTTGAGACTGACGCAGAAACTCCAGCGGGTGCAGAATGCCGCGGCGAGACTCCTTATGGGGTCTTCGCTGCGAGATCACATTCATCCGGTACTATACCATCCGGTACTATACCAGCTGCACTGGCTCCCGGTGGAGTACAGGATCAGGTTTAAGGTGCTGGTTTTAACCTTTAAAGCCCTATACGGCCTAGGACCCTCGTACCTACGGGACCGCCACTCCTGGTATGCCCCACAGAGAAACCTACGGTCTGCAAATAATAACATCCTCAAGGTCCCAGGCCTCAGAGAGGTTAGGCTGGCCTCAACTAGAGCCAGGGCCTTCTCGGCTGCGGCTCCAATCTGGTGGAATGCTCTGTCACAAGAGACTAGGGCCCTGCGGGACCTGACATCTTTCCGCAGGGCCTGCAAGACAGAGTTGTTCCACCAGGCCTTTGGTCAGGGCGCAGCCTGACTCCCTCCTCTGGCAACCTGCACAGAATTTTGCTTAATCGGTTGCCATCAATTTGATTTTAATTAATTTTTATAATGAAATATTTTCAGAATGTGTGATTATTTGACTGTTTGATTGTTGTTAGCCGCCCTGAGCCCGGCTTCGGCTGGGGAGGGCGGGATATAAATAAAATTTATTATTATTATTATTAAGTGTGTTGGCAATAAAAGAAGTCTGGTGGCACCTTAAAAGACTTCACAAATACAGTGAGGCGGAAGTTGTCCCGGCCGGGGCCACGCTGCAAGGTGTAAAGAGAGAGAATTGATTATTTGCTGTGTCTAATGATGGTGCTGAGCTAGCCCTGTACCTTGCCTATTCCTTTGTATTTCGTAGCAAGCCTTGCTCACTGGAAACGTGGGTTTGTTTCAACAACAACAACTCACTGGCACCTCAGACTCCAAACTCTCTCATTCTCTGCTTTTGATCTGCTAATATGAACAGGTTTGAAAAGTGTATTATGAAGGATCCAGCCATTAAAGTGGGTCTTTTCAACCCAAGTGGTCAGAGTTAAATTATCTCCAAGGTCCCTTCCAAAACTAAAATTAGGTGATTCCATGCTAGGCTTTCTTTTCAATAAGGTGAATTCTAGAGAAGTCTAAAAAAGATAATGCAACTTCGTTCTGTCTTTTATAGGTGATGGTCCCTTTCCTGGAATCATTGATATTTCAGGAACTGGAGGAGGACTTCCAGAATACCGAGCCTGTCTGTTGGCCAATCATGGCTTTGTAACATTAGCATTGGCCTATTATGCTTATGAAGATCTTCCCAGAGATATGAAGGAATTTCATCTGGAGTATTTTGAAGAAGCTCTGAACTATATGCTGAAACATCCAAAGGTAGGGCCATATGTGGACAGCCTTCACAAAAATAGCAAGCTTCTGAGGGTGCTACATTTGAAACTGGAAAGTCTTGTGTGTAGAACCACACCATACATTTGAAGCACATCTAAGGCTCCAGAACGGATCCCGTTCACATCCCGAGGTACCACTGTATATGCAGAAGTATATATTCCATAGTATTCTTATTCTGAGAGCTGTTGAATTGCTGATTTGAGAGTATTCTCTGAGCTGAACTCTGATCATCACATGCTTTCTTGTATTGCACTAATATTTTAAATTCATTATTTGTGCCAAGCTCCTGGAATAAAAAAAACACTGAAAGGTTAAAGTCCACAGCAACAGTTTTCTCCATTTTTGACTGCAAAGATTAACCAAAGCAGGCAAGCCTTGGGCAGTCACTGTGATAAATTGTTCAGAAATGTGAAATGGTCCTCAGCTCAGCTTTTTTTCTTTTGCCAAACTAAGGGTGAGCAGCATGAGCTTTTTGCCCACAGCTT